CTGCGGCTAAAATGGTCCCATGTGACGACGTCTGACCCGCTCGCGACTTTATGGTGTGGTCAGAATATAGACTGAAATAAAGCAGAATTTTCAAAACATGCACTTGAAGCTGCGAAACTCGGAGTCTACTTCTCAATGGGAATTTTGATTCGTATAGCTCTATTGTGGCTCTATGTCCTTTGAATCCTTTCATTAATGAAATATGGGTACAGTAAAAATAAATGTACAATCAAGCTTGCGATCGGTCCAGATATAAAATTCACAATTCATTACAGATTTGACTGTAAGCTTGACTTTGAATCAAGTTTTGAGCTTTTTTTTTCTCCGGTATATCTGTCAACGATTATAATCTTACGTAATCTATGACTTACGTTTTTTAGTCGTGTACACATTTTGCATCATTATTTATTTAAGAACATTACGTGTAAGCTGTGAAATTGTCAAAAGAACATACGTGCCTAGATTGAAACATAATCTTAGTTACATTTGTTTAGGAATGTTTTGACTGTTAATGAGTGAAATATTTATCCTGCTCCATTATTTAGGCAAATAACCAGGTTTATACACAATACACATACTTTTACTCAAAAGTTAAGGTAATATCCAAGGAATAACGTAATTATCAAATGACGACCGGTTTTAATATAATTTTATAGCTTAGTATTGCAGTTCTTGGCTCGGAAGTATCATTTAAATAATTTCCTGCGGAAGACCTTAAAGTTTACGACTTGAACATTTATTTTCTATTGTTTTGTAAATTGTATGAACTTGACCCGTAAGATATGTTGAATGAAACCATGTGAATACGATATGCCTCGTATAAAACTATCATGTTCAAGCTCCATTCAAGTTGACAAAAACAAGAACATCAATATTATAGTAAGCCAGGTTTCCAAGTAGAGATAGATAAAAATACCTTAATTGTCACAGCCGTATCTGATGTTACGGATCTTGTTTCCGACACGTTGTGGATATTCCGTATTAGTTTACTGCTGTATCCGATAGTTGTACGTTAGCTTGGGAATGTAGCAAACAACAATACCAATTTATCGGTTATGTCATAATTTCTGAATGCATTTTAAGTAACTTTGATTAATTATTGTACTCTAAACAATACCAATTTATCGGTTATGTCATGTTTTCTGAATGCAATTAAAGATAATTTTGGTAATTTATTATTATTGTACTCTAATATAATAAATGCCTAATTGACTTGTAGCAGTCTCATTAGAACACTCAACTTATCTAAACCGCTAATCGAAATATGTAAACAAAGCGTGCTAAATGTATCTACAGCGTGTTACAATTTATGCATGTCATTAAAGTAAACACGCCAATAGAATATTAAAAGCGCTATGTCTAAACGCAATAGTCTAGACGCGATAATCTCGCGCTGCCAGATACGCTGTTAGTAAATACGCGAGCCGCCCGCCCAGTGTCAAGGGCGGCTCCCCGCGGCCGGCGCAGGCCCCCAAACATACGACAAACAGAAGTAGCGAAACATCTCTAGGGCTGCGGATTCTGTTTTTGTTATTTCTAATGAGATTGAAGATGTTGAGTAAAATATATACTACGTCTTTACTTTTAGTAAAGAAAGCGGCATAAGAGCTTTACATTTGTTTGTAATGCCCGTATCTGGAGCGATACGTCTGACTCTGTATTGTGAATCGGATGATTCTGATATTTTTTAACCCAATTTTTTAAGCATTCCGGTAATCTATTATATTAAAATATTACACTGTAAATTAAAATATTTCGAAGGGTATGACAAACGATAGATCGCCTTTATGCTCAGAAAATGCCTATTCTCTTTTAGCCTGGAGACTTTTTTAATGCTAGAAATTAGGGAACAATGACGTAAGAAATCTAGTCACCTAGATTTCGTTCCACGCACGATGTGTTAATATACCTATTTCGCTTTTCTTCAAACAGTTACCAAAAAGTAATTTTGCGAACAGTCGGAAGTATTAATCACATCTGAGCTGCCCCTCGTGTTTCGTTAGCTACAAACTACGAGATTGCAATTTCCAGGTACAATTAAATTGCAATGAAACTCCATTTCAACGTATCCTCATATTCAACGGAACAGTTTAATTTTCCCCGAATAGCATTCAAAGAGACAGTTCGGGGAAATCTGTTCGCCCGACAACCCTGATGGGAGAATGCCCACCCCCGGGGTAGAACACCCGGCCAGTTCCGGGTGGGGCTTGCACTGCCTTTATGTAACTTGAAGCGTTTCAACTTAGACGTCTTCTTTAAATTAACGCTAATAATTCACGTAATTAGGGATCTTAGACCAGGTCGCGGATTACATTAAGCCCTTTAATTAAGAGCGATCTGGTTCGCGTCCTTTACGTCCCTTCAAACGATTTCTGCGTTACATAATGGTACGCATAAATTGAACAAGCTAAGTGCCTACTCCAAGGATTTTGTTGTTTTATATTCGCTCTACAGAGCTGATATTATTATGGTGAATGTTTTCTTACTATCTTCGGTTATATTATTTTATTAGACGTAAAACAAGACATTATTTTAGGTTATAAATGATTTGATTTCTCTTTACTTCTTTGCCAAAAGGTTGTATAATATGTTTTATGAGAAGTCTTTAAGTTTTTATTATTTGGCCAAAGTTCACGGATTTACATTTAGATCTTCCCAATTAATAATAATAAATATAACGTGCTGAGTCATATAATAGCAATGCTTAGATTGCTATCAAGCGGGCAGAAGTCGTTTCGACTTGTTTGGCAATTTGTCCTTGTGTCGAATTAATACATGGCTCGGATTTTTGACAGCAAATAATGTTAGTTCTGTTAAGACAAACTAGTTTACAAGTTAAAGGATACAACTTCCGACATTGAGTGAATAGACAAGGCGAGAGTGAATAGGCACTTACAGGGCAGGTATGTACCATCCTAGACTGCATCTCACTTAACACCAGGTGCGATTGCGGTCAAATACCTGCCTTGGCTAGCATAAAAAAAAAAAAAAAAAGAGTAGGTGTTTTTTATTGGACAGAATTTGAACTAGTACAGTTTCCGGCTAAATGACGTTGCATAATCGCTAAAGGGGATTATTAGAACAACGTTAATACGCTTTTGTTCGTATAAGTGGATTAAGAGCTTTAGTGTTATGGAGTCGTGATTGACCGAGCGAGTAAACATGATGAGTTTGTTAATACCCAGCTGCTATATCGATAGGTCATGCGAAATATTCGGCAAGGACACACGTACCCAGATTTTATCTTTTCTCGAACGCTTGATCTTATCGCCGCGAAATTAAAAACTGCAATTTATTTATGTAGGCGATTAAATCATTCTTTCAATTACAAACCTTTAATTAAATATGCATTATTCTTATTGTATTCATTGAAATACAATGACCCGAAGTAAGTAACAACAAAGAAATTATAGAACCTATTGAAATATGTTTTTTTTTGTTTGCGAACATGCCTTGCAATAAAAGTTATTTAGAAAACGCACGTAAACATTACCAGCAACACCCACCAACACGTGTCTTACATTTTGTATGAGTATTTTCATTATTTACGCATTGCATGATTCCAATGTTGACCCATCGCATGAATCGATGTGGCATTTAAAATTTTTATTTGCTGTTTTACACCGTTATGATATTTTTTATTTATATTAATCATGTTGTGTTTTGGTTTGCCAGATACACTGTTTATCGAGGTTTTCACACTGATTCGTAATGTGTTTTTGTTTGTAATCAAAATATGTTGATCAGTTTCACGAAATAATATTGTTTCAAAAATATTTTCCAGTAAAAGTTTTCATTTCATATAAATACGACTTCGTCGACATAAAGTTTATAATACCAATTTACGAAACGTGTGAAAGCCAATATCATAGAACACAGACAATTTTCGTCCCTCAACCAGCCTCTAATATCATTCAACTATTAAAATTAGGGTAAGTCCAGGATAGATGCCCCACTTTTTGAAACAGCTCTGTAACTCAGTCAGTAAGTTTTTATCAACAATTTGACCTTAGTATCTGTAAACTTTGGTCTTTCGTCTATGATATTACTATAATTATTTTAGTTTAAGTTATACCGATTCTGAGTAAATACCATTTTAATTGACCTCTAAAAAGTGGGATAGACGCCTAATGTGGGGGATAGAAGACTCACTGTATGATTGCTTCAAAGGATAGATGCCTGATGCAGGGATAGATGACTCGTTAATACAGTTTTTTAATTCTAAGGATCAAATTCATTTTGAAATCAAATAAGCCAAGTATTATTATTTAAGATTGTTTGTTATTAAATGAATTAAAAATGAAATTTAATATTGTTTATTAAAAATAATACTACTCCTTCTAGCGCAGTCGGGTAAAAAGGTAATTCGATCAGAAGGGCACCCTATTTATTACTTTCCTAAGGTTAGCCGTACTACATTCTTTTTTTCTTCTTACTTGCTACCTGTGACAAAAAGAGCAGGTTAGGATAGATGCCCCTAGGTGCATGGGACATGGCCCTAAGGGCATCTATACCCAAAAAAAATTAGGCAACTATCCTTTTACCATAGGATAGGTGCCGTTTTTAATAAAAAATATAATAACAATTAAAATCGAATTAAACATATCTATCCCGTATAATTTATAAGATAGTCTATCAAATCATATAAAAATCTGCTTCATTTTACAGCTGACAAAAAAATTATCCCTTAAAAAATACTTACCAATATTATTTCGACGCTCGCAAAGGTCTGGCCGCGGAAGATTTTTGCTCTCACTGTCTAAACGAACGCACTCTTTGATGGTTTGCGAGGCGAAAAGTGGTACTGGGAGGTCCCTTTCTATTATACGTACTATAACTTTAGGCTAAGTTGCTTGTAACATAGTGTACTTAAAATCGCGGCACCTATCCCACTGGGGCATGTATCCTGGAATTACCCTACAATTCCGAAGAAAGTTGTCTGTGTTCACCTAGTTGTTTGCATGCGTTTGCGCTGTCTAGACTGTGGTTCTTGCATGCAGGTCTAGGCGCGCGTCGCAGCAGCTGTCGAGGAGCGCCGAGAGCATCGACCAGTCTTACAAGAGGTACGCTGTGTGCTTTTTACATCATTTTTTTTAAATTTATTTTGACTCCTCGAAGACTACAGACTTTTAGTCGGCTTCTTCTTTGTATGAGGAATCGGCCGATACTAAATCAATGTGCGCACTTCCATACATGTTGATACTGATTAACAGCCCCATCACTATCGGCCGACAAAAAGTCTAGTCCGCGGGGTGTGGTTCTGCTTCATCACACCTTTATTAAATTGTTCCGTTTGTAACTTTACTTGTTTTAAATCATTCTTATGTTTTGTGCACGTGAATAAAGCTGAGCTGAAGCAGATACCATTATGTTTTAGGTAAGCTTTTTGATTGCATTTCGATGTGTCACCTGCAAATTGTACACAAACTACAGAGGCATTGAATGAAATATCACAGAAGAGTATGCATCTGCATAACATTTTAATATCTGTTACATTTGTGACACGTCTACATCGCCACACGTTCTAGTTCTAAGGTAGCCGAAGCGCGTGTAGCAACGTTTGCCTTTTCAAACAACGCATATGAAAGACAATAACATCATTATATGGATGATCACGTATCACACTATTTTCCATTGCTCAGCCTTAATAAATCAATCCATTCATGTCTGGATTTGCATACCTATAAGTTCTGCAGAAGTCTGTGAAACATAATACCGTGTTGCGTCACGCTCTGTAGGTCTTCTGGTAGAATCGAATATACGCGTCAATAGAATTCATAATAAGTACTTGAACTAGATAGAGAGGTACCTACTAGTGTTTTAATCTTTCAGACGGCATCTTATCGAACACTTATTGTCATCATTTGCCAACCGCGTCGCGTGATCAAGACCTCCGCTACCATATTTCGCATTGCGTACCTATAATATTAAATCTGAATAACAATACACTCGATAACTACTCAATGTGATAGAACATAATTCGGATTTAAGAATCTTGATATTCAGATTACGTATCGTCTGTAACTTTATACCGCCGAGATAGCATATCTACAACATACATATAATACATAGTCATACTACTGTTGCTTCTGAAAAGAAAATAGCTTGGCCATGGCACGAAGAGAAAGTTCCTGTCATTTAACCGACGTAACTTTGCAAGTACGACAAAAATGTTTTAGTTCCGTCATCCATCACACGTGCATATTTTATGTTGGGCGAGTTCGGAATGTCGTTGTATGTCTTACAAGCTTCACATAACTCACGTTTCAAGGTCCACGAGAAAAGATTATGCAATTTATTCGGCCTACAAAGCAAAAGTTAAAAAGATAACTGTAACGAGGAAACCTCAAGTTCGGACAGATACTTTTTACCGATTAAAGGATAGGTACGTTTTATATCAAATTAAAAATTCGAGCTAATTTAGAAAGGATTGTTCTTTGATGGCTGATGTGATTCTTTCATATTCATTGCATTGAACAGTTCCCGGAGGCTATGAAAAAAGGGTAACTGAACCGATACGCTTGATAACCATTGACCCAATTGTGCAATCCCCTGTACTGTACCGCCTGTAACTACCCTTTGGCGATTTAACCGTCAGCCCTATAGGTGTCTCTCAAAGTCCCATTTTTAACTTTTCTTTCAGGTCAGATTTTTCAGAAAATGCTACACTATTTACATTTTGCGAGTCATTAGAAGAATCCAGTGTTATAATAATAGCAGAGAATAACAATGATCTTGCGATAAATTTCAGCATTCATTAGTAAATTTTGTGTTTCTGATGCCAAAATATTTGCAACTGCGCGTCGGGAAAAAGAGCAGTTTCGAAATACTCATTTTACCCCAGATATAAGTACACATTATTTACGTTTACGTGTATGGATCTGCACGTTTTGCTGAAAGTATGTTAATGTTTATTGGGAATTTTGCTTTTTTAATGAATATTAAACTCGTATTTATGTCGAAAATGTTCACTTGAGTAGATTAATTGCCCTGATTTAAGTCAATGTTGTTTGTTAATTGCTCTGTTGTTTTGTTTTTAGAGTTACATGTCTAGGAAATGATAATGCAAAAGAAAACAAAAAGAATAGACATATAAAAATCGGAGCAATACTAATACTGTATGTAATAAAAGTTTATCTGTTTGCAGACATATAAACTGGGGGTTAGTTAGGCCATTTTCCTGGGTAAAAAAAAAAAAAAAAAGGTAAACAATCTACGATAGGAATTTACTATAGGAACGTTTTCGTAGGATTTATTGAGATTATAAAAAGTTTTCAGAAGCTCCGTATTATCAAGATAACGTTATTAATCCATATCGTATATTTAACCTAAAATGCTCGGTTTCGGTTTGACACATTTACAGAATGTCTGTGCTTATAGCAAATCTTGCATAAAGGCCAAGTATTAGATAGACTATCCTGATATCGTATTCCCAAGCGACTTCTTCAAAGCACTCATCTACTGGAATTTCAAGCTTGACTCGTTTCGTAGCTATCCCTTGTGTAATCAATCCAGGATCAACTAGTATTAGCTTCCCGACTCTCCCATCGATCAGTTTCGCGTCGTTAGCAGTGGCTCCCGTAGTCCCAATCAATTCTGCACTGGCAGGAGTAGGAATGTCGCGGCGATCTATTTGTGTCAATCCTACAAAAGATATTCGGGACGATTCTTTTACGAATGGGCAATTATACGTACATTGACCCAGAACGTTCCGATATCTCCGCAGGTCGATACTCGATTCTGGACTGCTCTGGTGGAACGTGGAATGCTCCGGTATTATTTTCATGAGTTATCAATAATATTGATTACCTAATTTATGTAAATAATATCGCGGTGTTCTGTTGTGTAACTTTTTGCCTCTTTAGTTATAAAATACAAGATTTGATTTGACCACCAAAAATAATGTCCACAAAGAAATAATTTGGTGCCTATTGTTGTGCTCAAGTATTTTACTCGTTACCTGAAACAGTGTTACTAATGGGGTGACGAATGGGGAAAAACGTTTGCATTTTTACGAGGAAACCCCCATTTATCGTCGTCACCTCAGCTGTGATTCGATTGTCTTACATTTTAATTGTATCTGTATCTAAAATGTATGTTTTGCGTATTACAGGTCTAAAAGCCGCTCCGTGGACCATGGGTTCGCGGCGCCCTTCGACTTGGAGGCGCTGCGTTCCAAGGTCGAGGGGAGGTTCGACGCGGTACACAGAGGTGAGGACGCTTTCACAAGCACTGACTAAAGTACAGATTGTTGCAAAATAACCTGTATTGCAATGAGATAAGACGCCACTTTGTTTAGCTTGACGTGCTTTCGTCTGTACGCTACCCTTAGAAGGGTTTCTTCATGAATATTCTCAGTCTCACCTAAGTTGACGCAATGTTTATCTGCGACACATTCTTAGAATACTTTTTGAGATAATACCGAGAATACATTTACACGAGTTTTCTATTCAGTACCATGAAAAAAAAACTATTTGTAGGTCAAGTTTGACTTGCTTTGTGTTTAATAAATTCACACAGACATCCTAACTAGGGCTTCGTGTCTAGTGAAATATGATTCTGGCGAAATAAAGAAACAACCGTTTCTGCAAAAGTGGAAGTTAAAAGCTATTGAAACTACGTCCGTAGCCACGTATAAATCAAGCTTTTTGTTGGAAATGTGTAAACACAACGAGGGGCTTTCCTTAAAGCCCGCAACTCGAGTTCAAGGGGATTTTATATCCTCGACATGGGGTTTTGTTCTTTTCATAAATTCGCCAGCGAAAGTGAATCTGAAGGCCTCTTTCTTTGCTTATATCTTAAATTCTATGAAAGATTTTGATTGGGGTTTAAATACAAAATATAACCTAACCGACTCTTGTGCAAAAGTTTGCATAACAAAACAATGCATGCAAAAGGAAATGTCTCTTTACAATTCTTTCTGTAAAGAAAATATTATGCATTATCCTTGGTTGGTTGGTTACTTCCGGTCAGGGACATTTGCTTTGTTAATTTATAATATTTTAGTTTCAAATAATTCCATTATTTAGCTCTCCCATTTTCGCATTCAGTCTACAGCATAACTGGGAGTGGTTAAAATAAATTTGTTTTACGTTACTCTTACTAGATTATTTATGGAACAAGATAAACTAATATTGTTATACAACAATGAGTTTTTTGAGGACCCAATTCCAGTTTTTACGTAATCTCCAACTCAAACATCCAGATTTTGCGCGTCGAAGGGATTTATAGGAGTAGGATTTAATTCCAGATAAGTCTTAAGCAAACACTTCGATGGATTAAGACGCTGCTCGCCGTTATGGCTGGTTCCCTGGAACCCTCGGGATCTGTTGCTGGATAAACACCGAGTTATAAAACGCCATCCAACTGATGCTCAAAGTAATTAATGCCAGAATTCAGTTAAAACTCCCGTGTTTATTTACCGGCTGCGCAGCTTACGGGATCTACTTGTGATTGCGGTTTAATGCGACCAAGATTTATTGCCGCGCTTCAGATATTAAATTATACATAGACCTGCCGCGGGATGATTTCATTTGAACGTTTAAATCTGTGTACCGGATATTTTAAGTGTCATTTAAAATTTAACTATCACATCTAACCTTAATTTAGTGGCTAAATATTTTTTCTACTAATATTTATTTTCTTAACGTGGGATAGGTACCTACCAAAACACGTGTCGTAAAACCTTGAATGTGTTTTTAGAAAAATGTGATGTGATGACGTTCATATAGGCAAGTGTAATAGATTTATGACCTCGCTGACTTAAACACGTTGTTATGGTTCTGTAAAGATAAAAAAATGGAACCCATTACTATAAGATCACATTACATGTCTGGCTGAACGTGGGTCACAGACAATTTTCTCAGAAACAAGTTGAATAGACTTGAAGTTCAAAGTCTTGAAACATACGAGTACATAGATGTAGTTTGGTGACCCAAAGGAGGAAAATGTAAATGGTTTTGTAAATAAAAAAAAACCTTGAAATTGAACTCTAACCCATCTATTACTTGCAATCGGCATGTTTTTTTTCTATAAAGACAAGTTTTCTGTTTTCCTAGTGATCAATAACTACATTGAACCTGATAAATAGAAAGATAAATGGACTCCTGCAATCTTAAAGCAGTCAATCAATTTTCACATTATAGCTTTCAAAGAAATTACCGATCTATAAATAAAGTTACAGCACATTTAGAGATAAGGTGTGGGCATATGCGCAGAAGTTTTATGATATTGTCGGTTGGACGTAAACTTGACCCGCGCGTAGATGGAGAAATGACCTGGATACCCTTATATGGATAGACGCAGGTGCCAGAAAGGAATGCACGAGCGCATTCCATGCCAGATTTGATTGGCATGTGATTAGCTGTCATTTATTAAAATGTTTTAATGATCATTTATTAAAATGTTTTAATGATATTATTATTGTAATTTGATTCTTAAAAAGGTTTAATTAATTAACCTTTGTTTCTTTTTTGACAAAGATTTTGGACTTCTTGATTTGTGTTACTTATTTATAACGTACTATGATTATTATGATGTCCGTATTAAAAGAAAGGGTTGTTTTTATAACTCGTGATATGGATAAAATAATTATGATCTGATCGATTTATTAATATTCGCGAGAATAATTCATAACAGAAGCAATCATATCTTCCTGAAAAAATATTACGAGCAAATTCACAGTACAGCAAATAAACAGAAACTCGAACATGTAGGCATTCCACGTATAACGATAATATTATTATTGCTTTAAATTTAAATATTTACTGATAATATTTATTTTGTTCACAGATGAGGACGAACAAATTAAAAGACTACCCCCTCCACCCCCTATCAAGACTATGACTTATACGGTAAGTAAAGAAAAGACGCAAAACAAAAACTATTTACTATTAATTATTCAAAAGTAAAAAACTTCCACTGCATACCGTTGTTATCGAAAGTATGTTAATTACGGGCAGCTGTTTGGAATAGGATACATATTTTATGTTAAGTACCTGCTGCGTTTATGTATTATTCGTACTGACGTTGTTTTGTTTTCGCCTAGGTCCGTGACCGTGACACGCTGACCTCGCTGGCTGCGCGCTTTGACACCACCCCCTCTGAGCTAACCAAGCTGAACAGGCTGGCTACGCAGTTCATCTTCCCGGGGCAGACGCTGCTGGTGCCTGACAAGAGGAAAGGTAGGCGTTTAGTATAATGTGCTAAGTATAGGACATAGGGGTGGTGTCAAACCACCCCCTCTGAGCTAACCAAGCTGAACAGGCTGGATACGCAGTTCATCTTCCCGGGGCAGACGGTCGGCGGATGACATTTCGCGCTTTGACTATTTACGTGATTTGACGGAAGAGCTGTGTTACGAACAAGCAAAGCCCGCATTGATCATCGGAGTTGACAACTGGCACTTGAGTGTTCCGCTCGCAGTACGTCACGGTTCTAGGTGTCAGCCGGTTGCCACTCGTACGCCTTTGGGTTGGGTTCTGTATGGATTCTCTTCCAGTAAAACAAAACCGGTTGAATTTGTTAACCATTGCAATTTTGACGAAAGCGAATCCGTGGAGACACTGATAAAAGAAAATTACAAGCTAGACTCAATTGGAATTGAGAAAAAAGATTATCGTACTAAAAGTCAGGCTCGCGCTTTGGACATTTTGGAAAATACAACTCGGCGTCTTCCCGGAGGTCGCTTTGAAACTGGTCTTTTGTGGCGAGATGACTTAAAAGATGTACCAAATAATTTTGAGATAGCCTTGTCGCGTTTTAAGAGCCTGGAACGGAAATTTCAAAAAGAACCCGAGTTCGCAGAAGCTTACCGTCTGAATATGCAGGCTACTATAGATAAAGGTTACGCGGAAATTTGTACTAAGCCGCCAAGCGGCATCACTTGGTATTTGCCTCATTTCGGAGTCTTTCACCCCCAGAAGCGTAAGTTAAGGATTGTTCACGATGCTGCAGCTAAGTTTCTGGGAATAAGCTTTAACTCTATGCTTCTGTCAGGTCCTGACTTGCTTCAAAATTTAGTCGCGATTCTAATGCGTTTTAGAGAAGGCTGCGTAGCGTTAAACGCGGATATCCGGGAAATGTTCCCTCAGATAAAAATTCGAGAAAACGATCGCGACGCGCAGCGCTTCTTGTGGCGCAGCGACCCTTCTTCACCAATCGAAGTATATAGAATGTCCTCAATGATTTTTGGGGCCACTTCCAGTCCGTGCACTGCACTGTATTTAAAAAATAAAAATGCACTTGATCATCAGCACCTGTATCCTGATGCTGCACAAGCCATTGTAAATAATCATTATATGGATGACTATTTGGGAAGCCTGGACGACGTCGACGGCGCCGCTCGTCTGGCAGCCGATATAGTGAAGGTACATAGCTTAGCTGGCTTTNTCATCTTCCCGGGGCAGACGCTGCTGGTGCCTGACAAGAGGAAAGGTAGGCGTTTAGTATAATGTGCTAAGTATAGGACATAGCTTTGACACCACCCCCTCTGAGCTAACCAAGCTGAACAGGCTGGCTACGCAGTTCATCTTCCCGGGGCAGACGTTGCTGGTGCCTGACAAGAGGAAAGGTAGGCGTTTACTAGGTAATGATTTTTGTTTTCGTCGGGAAATGCTTCGCACATACTCATTGTCGATGGTGGCGGTCAGTGAGCCAGAAGAAGAAGGGTAGGGGCCGGTAGGGCCTACCCACTAAAACTCAACGGCTAATGACACGGAGCCGTGAGTTATTGTCCTAAAATTGGTCGTCCGCTAAACGGCGCACTAAACACTGAGGCTGGTTTTGGTGTCACGCGGACCGTCAGTGCGGATCGCTCCGCACAGACGATCTGTGTGAACTGCTAGGGAGCGAGCGGTTCCTGCGGACCGCATTACTCTAAAACGCTAATACGCTGGTGCGCCCTGGACGATGGTGAATTGGTGACGGATCACAGAGGCGTCAGCCGAGACTAACATAGAGGCCAGGCTAGAGCCAATCCGAGCAGGTTGAATACAATCCTCTCTGAATTAACCAAGCTGAACAGAGCAATACATATATCAGTTAGCCTGTAGTCAGCTGGCTGATGCCCGATAAGAAGCAAGTATAAGACGTTTATGACCAGTGTCACATTTGTCTTGTGCTGGCTTGCTGACTAGTTTCTCCCATGCGCATTGTCGATACCTCAGTGGTGCCGCCGAATTCACACCATAATCTGTGGTAGCTGCTGCTCTTTATAATACACGTTCGGGACTGTTGGGGTTCAAATCCCACCGGACTTCGGATATTGTATGCTCGTGTATTAACTGGCGTTCTACATAGTCCAGTTTAATTTTTTCAATACAAGTACGAATATAATTTAAATAGCGTTTCCTTTATTGACTAATTCCGCAAATCACGTGAGTGCTTTGTTAAGCTGTTTCACATTTCACGCAAAGATTTGTACAATAATGTCCAACAAAAACAAAGTTAATTTTTAACCGTGGAAATCGTTTATTTATGTTATTGAATAACGTTGTTTGTTCGTAATATTATACACTCGTGTTCAGTTTGATATCGAGATTGGATTTCAGTTTTGTTGTGAGATTAAACTCCTGAAAGTAGAGTAACGTGCGGTGGGCAGTACATCAGATTACATTTTTATTGTAAAATAGCATCTATTATAATAGCACAAGATGCTCTTGATGTGCCGTCGTCTGTACAATATTTTAGATTTTCAATCGTTGCACTCCGTGAGATAAGTTTGTACACCGTACTTCAAGTTGTGGTGAATGACCGACTTGCGTGCCACTTCATAACAGCATTTACGGCGTTTCTTTTTAAAAGCTCCAGTTTTCATTTCAGGCATCCATTAAAAGTACGATGGCATTAACCATCGACTTCAATTTTAAACCATAACCAGTTTTGTAAAACTGTATTATCTAGACGCTGTAAAATGTCTGTGTTACGACTGTATGGTGCCGCGGTTTAATAAAGTTACTAAGAATATTTGCTCTCTTTGAATTTCATGTAACCTTATATTGTAGACAACTTCTTAACTTAATCCATTTCAGCTGCATGCATATTACATGCTTACCTATATTGCGAATAAGAATGTTGATGCGTTTTCATATTATCTGATTTTATGTTTTCTTTAAGACATTATTATTGGATCTAAAATTGAGATGTCACGTTTATGACCAAAAAGAACTACAACAAAACTGTCAGTAAATCAAATATGAATGAACCGTGACGGATTGTTCGACGAGAAAACCAGTTTTACGAAACCTGGCCTTCGCGGCAGACAGCTGTTTACCAACTAGGGACAAATTAATAGTTCCTGCTTTCTTAGTTGCCCCATGCTGTTGTTAATTACAATAAATAAGCAATACGTATTGTATTTTTAATGATCAGGCCTTTCAATATGACTGAAATAGAAGGTAGAACCGCAGTAGGTTGCTGTTTGCAATGGACATAAGTAATTCATGATGATTTCTTAAAAAAAAACTTACATATAAATTAAAAAAGTAATAAATATACATCACTCAGATGAATGTGTGAGCTGCTACTTAATCGCGCATAAAGTTTTTAAAGACAGGAAAAAATAATTAACATTCATTTAATTGATTAGTAGGTTAAATATTAATAATCATCAACAAATTCGTGGAATGGCAGCGTGGTGCATGCTCGATGCACTCGGCGCGCGATGCAGCATTGTCCGGGCTTAAAACAAAACAATAACACTCAACCTTGGTGTTATTCGTTCGCGCGTGACGTAGATGGAACAAATTTTTCTCGTATTTGCACCGCAAACAGCGGTTACACCACTCGTGGCGCGATAGGCAGACGTAGCCGCGCCAGCGCCACGGCACCACGCGTTCAAATTTATTCTATTTTAAACCGCTACCAAACTGCATTCCCGTACGACAACGCCGACCCGATTGTTTTAATTGCACGAATCAATCCAGACTCGGTGAGCCCAGAGGCGCCAGACTAGCCGAGATATGGATTCGCTTTATCGTACGCGATAAGTGCCGATAGAATGGACCTTGTATCACTTCACTTCAAGAATGTTCAGTTTTGAATTCCTGAAGCGCTGGTATCACGGTGCGTTTTCGCTGTTTTCCACTAATTTTAATTCGCGGATCGCGTGACTTGTGGCGTGTTGTAAATAGCAACAGATTGTTCATGGTGTTATTATGGTTTCGCAGATGGAGATAAAGACTCGGATGGGCCGTCTGAGAGCGGCGACAACACATCTGAATCAACACAGGCTACGAGCGAGCCGGCACAGGAAAAAGGTATCGTAATATTATGTATCTAAAATAGTTTCCTACTAAATCATTGCTCTGACGCAAAGATTTCGTTCTTGGGATATTTATATACAGCAAAAAATAATAGATTTGCATAAAACAAAACTTTCAACCTCAAAGTCAGACAGCCAAACTCGTATGTACCTACATTGTAACAAATCATTATTTTTTATTACGTCGATAAAAGGCACAGCTTCGTGTTGGCTTTTACTGTTTCCGATGTCATTATACCACCTCTACGTACATTATTAAAATAATAGGATAACGATATAAACTCGACATTGTTTGCAGTATTTTTTAACAATAAAACAGCACTAGGTAAACGTATGATTAGGATCAACGTCAATGAAAGGCTAACCTTTTGAAATTGCACAATAACTCGTTATCAGATTAAGGCTAGGAACATTTTACTGGCGTAAGTGCGCCGTAAGTGAGTTTACGTCAGTCTTTTTGGAAACCCCACTGTGCATGTGCAGGATAATGTAAATTCTACAGCACATCAGACTACATTTTTGTTGAAAAGTCGCTCTTATCACAACCACACAAGACCCCAGAGTGTTAAGCTTGTACAGCTAAACAATTTTTGATCATGCAACCGTAAATACCCTGCAGTAATGTAAGAAAAACTGTTAGCGGCATGCGAATTGCAAATTATGGCTTTATAAACCCAAAGATTATAATCAATACGAACTTCGAGTGGTAATTGCGCTCATTACGACGTCTGCGTTCGAACACGGCTAATGGTTATCGTCTACATCTCATGACTCAAGTTTATTTATTTTGATACGAGCAAACATGTAAACAAACAGTCGCCAATCGTTTGAGATACACTCTATTTGTAGAAAGTGATTCAATTGCTATGAACACAATCAATTTATAATGTTAGTAAATGAATGTGTCGCCATTAGAGAAACATACTCTATAGGTAAAATATTTTTGACGTTATTGTTTTTTCCTGTTTTCTTTTGTCATGTATTAATTCAGATTAAATATTCCGTGCGTTTACATTGTGAGAGTCACTGACTCTACAACTAGCTCGGATAAATTACTTTACTAATGATACATATTTTTTATATAAAATCTTTGAAAATATCGCGTTAAGACGATCTTTTTCGCGTTTAGAAATTGGCAGCATTATTAATAAATAAATAAATAAATATCCTTGGACATTTTACACTGCGCCGCTAGCCCCAAACTAAGCAAAGCTTGTACTATGGGTACTAGACAACGGATATAAACATACTTAAATACTTTTTTTTTTTTTGTAAATACATATTATACATAGAAAACACCCAGTCTAATACAAACAAATATGTTCATGCACACAAATGTTTGTACTGTGCGGGAATCGAACCCGCAACCTCCGGAATAGTAGTCCGATTCGAACCACTACACCAAACGGCCGATTATTGTAATCTATCTGTCAATTTGATATTTTATCAACGCTAATTAACACTTTAACTGGATTTAAATGGAAATACATAATTATGTCAATCATCCACATGTATTTTATTTTATTTTATTTTATTTTTTTAACAATGTTTCAACAGCATTTAATGGTACATAAATGTGCAGGAAGATACAACTTGAACATAACGCAGTAAACGCATAGTTTAAATACTTTATAATCTATTGTAAGATTGGATGTAAACATTGCAATGGTGAAGACACTTGAATTTATTAGCTCAAATGCTCCAAATGACGTCAGCCGTACGGATATTGAGTTGAAGAGAAAATTACGCTCTACAAAGCCACTTCGAAGCATCCAGTTGGTTATGCAATACAATGGGAATGATGCATTCGTCGTGTTCACTTGTCAACACTGATATAGATATGATACGTGTTATTTATTACATATTTCTTGGATTTCTATTAGCCACAGTATAGTAGCAATCTAAGAAAAAGGCTTTTATAATTCATTCAATAGACCAAAATCGCAAAAGTGCCGAAGACAAAAAAAATCATTAGATTTCGAAAATTGCAAAAAGGATTTTTCATTTCTATCTTCACAGTATAAAACAAAGTCGCTCTCGATGTCTGCGCGCTTAGATCTTTTAAACTACACAACAGATTTTAATGCGGTTTTCAGCAATAAATAAAGTGTTTCAAGAGGAAAGTTTAGTGTATAATACATGCCCTACCATACATTATAATACCCTGCGAAGACGGGGCGGGACGCTAGTTGTGTTACTATAAAAACGATTTCTTTCTAGACCCTATCTAAAACTTTATTGTGCCCATGAAGAAATATTGTAAGTATGCGATTTATATTAAAGTATGTGTGAACATTTACAGAGATCCTGGACAGCCTTCGGCCGGTGTCACCCGAAGCCCCGACTAGTAGCAGCGCCCCCCAGCGGTTCCTTAAGATCAACGTGCGACACATCACTGATGGACAGGTGGGCTCACTTGTTTGTTTATTTCAAAACTTATTAACCAAAAAGTAAGGTTCAGCAGAAATTAGTGTAAGCGGTACATAAAGTTATACCTTTTGTGTTTTTCAAATGCTGAATGAACTGGCTCTTGAGGGTGCAATGTATATTAGAAAGAGGTTTTCTAGAGGTTGCTCATTTACTTGTGGTTTGTTGAAAGTCTTGTATGAAATTGGAAGTAATGGCATAATGACATACTAGAAACGATAGGTATCTTAACTTTTAATTACAGTTTCTTTACATGCCTGTACAACATCGATTACGTCAATGAATACCTACTAAAAGTATCTAATGATTTCGTATTCATTACCTGTATAGTAGCTGCATACTTAAATACATTTTTATCGTCTTTGTTCTACTTTCCAACTTAGTACTCTTAATTAAAGTTACAGTTTGTAATTTTGTCTACATTGGTAGGTTTTGTTTTTTATCTTCGGGTGTTATTATCACCAAAGTCATCCTTAAGACTTTAATCCAGCTTTATATTGTGTATCTACTGGTTTTTGTACAGAAATTAAACGTATACGATTGCGCTGACTTATAAGACCAGTATACACAGCTGTTTGTAAGCCATTCATGCATGACCGCAAAATTGTGTTTTTCATAGGAAGTTGTGAGCAAAGACAAAGCCTTGTTAACCTTGCGAACAAAGTGTGTAAATGACAATATTGTGAAATATAATTTATCGTTTCTTTGCATATTACATTCAAAACAATCGGTTTATTCAATAGACTATTAAATAAAGAGAATTTACTTAGCTTATAAGAATAAAAAAATTGTTTGAGACTGGTCGGTATAATAGAAATGCGCACGTTATGTAGCTGTCCTACATTACGTATCAATATGACTTCATATCTCCGTTCATGGCCTCGTTTCGGCAAATGTTACCTAGGCTGCAACTAGTGACTGCAATAGGTTTGATGGATACCTAAGTAAACTCCGACAAACGTTACCTACCTCGACATTACGACAAAGGCGAATATCCTTTGTCTGAGTAGTATAGTGACGAAGTAAAGTCATGTCGATATTCAGAAGTGTCGAAGTAACGTTTGTCGGAGTTTACTTAGGTAGCCATGTTAGATCAATTGCCATTGGTCATCATTATCATAAACCTATATATAGCCTGACCAGGAACATAAAAACCCTGGCATAGAGGCGCGTCAATCGCATTTGATAGTGCAACACTGAGTACAGTCGTACCTGTGTTAAATTAATAGGCTAACTTTATGTATCAGGATTCAGGATTACGGGCTAATTTGATATTTTCATAAATTAACCAAAAAATATTATTATAGGTAACCTGGTTTAAATAAATTAAATGAAACCATCAATCGAGCTAGTAGGATTTATTTTATTATTCATCAATAATCAAATTCAGAACTTGAATATTCAACTGCAATGTTTGGTCATGAACGCTTCAAACTCGACTCGGTATCTTTCCCAATTTCATAAAATTCAACACTTAGAAAGTGACAGAAAATTTTAAAATAGGTAGTTGAAACAAACCACAGCTAATTTTCATAGTGGACTGTACTATACGATAAACATGTCAGTCAATTTGACAACCTTTGTCGGAAACATTATTCAATGAAAATATTATCCGAACCCTTAGTATTTCTCTTCGACAAATACTTTAACACATTGTGAACCACTTTTCTTTCACGACTATAAAAAGATTTTAGCAATTTAATTCACAAAATCAATTGCGCACATTTAAAATAAAGTTTGTTTACACTTTGACAGCAATAGACTGACATGCAAGGTGACATGTCAATGAAGTTTTCAGTTACTGTTGCCATTAAAAGAAATTAGTACCATTAGTTTTCCGCAACATGGCGAGGGTTTTTATGTTCCTGGTCAGGCTATAATAGCGGTCTACTGTTTGAGGCTTCTTCCCACAATATACATCATTTAACCCTGTCTTGTCTTCGGGCTACAAACTACCCTTTCACAAAGTCCTATTATTATTCATTGATCATAATTTACAGTATTTTGGATGTTTCTTTCAAAATAAATATTTATATAACAAAACGTATCATTTACAGGGCGTGGTATCCGGAGTGCTGCTCGTAACACCTAACGCAGTCATGTTCGATCCCAACGTATCTGATACGCTGGTGATGGAACATGGACCGGAGTCGTATGGCGTCATCGCGCCCATGGAGTACGTCGTCAACGCCGCCATCTTCTACGACATCGCGCATATGCGCACGCATGGGCCCGACCACCACAACGCGCACAAGTGAGTGTCGACTCTATGTCATATGTGATAGAGGCTGTATTCCTATGACCTGCACGTGTCGGGCACGTTCGTGATGGAGCACGGGCCGGACCACCACAGCGCGCACAAGTGAGTTTCACCTCTATGTCTTGTGTGGTAGAGGCTATATCCGTATACACCCAAACGTACTGCCGCACAATTTATAAACGCAGTAAGTACCACTTACTGCATTTATGATTGTTTTGAATATTCTGAATCCTGACATCGCGATCTATAAGAATCAAAGACCCGTTTTTTTCTATCTATCTTAGAACGGAAGATACATATTATCATAAATGCAGTAAAGAGCATATTTTAGGCTTCTTCACATACTATGTTAGCAGTAAGAGCACATAATAACTTAATATTACGTGAATACTCGCGCTTACTTAATTTGCTACACAGTAATAGTGCAGTATGTGCCAATTACATCATTCTTATTATGTTTCTACAATTGTTAAGTTCACCTTGCACATAGTATATGTGCAGTAATTCCACTTAAACACACACTGATATTATGTTTCCATAGGAAAAACAGATGACTCNAAGTGGTACTTACTGCGTTTATAAATTGTGCGGCAGAAATGTGTCATAGTATGACCTAAATATTACAATACATAAGATCCCGCAGTGTTTTTTAACCTGCTAACGTGCTGGTTAGAAGCGGAATTCCGAAGTAATAGTAAAGGACCAATTTATATTTAAATTGTAGTGTTCATTTGCATTTAATTTCCCTTAAATGCGATTTGAATACTTGTAAAGTATCCTTATTGCACGTGGCGATTGACGTAGATAGGCATAAATTTGCGTTATGCCATTAAAACTCGTAATAAAATATACAATAGCATATTCTACAACAAACTACCCGTGTAAATATGTTTATGCAGTTAGTTCTGCTAAGTTATAACGGATTTTGATACGGTATTCACTGTCATGTAATTTCTTCCGGATGATTTAACATACATGCATATTTAGAGACATCTGATAAACCGAGCGAAGCGGGATACTGAACGTAGTTTACCTATAAAACCTGTAACTTCATGAGTACTTTAATCAAATGACAAACAGATGCTGCTGTCTTAATTCCCGAACTCTATAATCCGGCCCAGATTCAAGGCGAGAGGGAATAAGCACTTAGGGTATGTAATATGTATGTATTGTACAATTCTGACTTAGTGTACATCACACTTAACATCAGTGCGATTATGGTCAAATAACTGTCATAAAAAAACAATGCTATGCAATGCTATAATGATGTCATGTAACTGGTCTGATGATAGAGCTGGAAGGTGGCCATAGGAACTTTGGCGAAACCACGAAACCCTCCCTGTCGAGTTGGGCTCGTTTGATTTGTCTTCATAAGTACCTACTCGTCTTGGAGGAGTATTCAGGGTTTATTTATTTATTTAGGAAAACCAGGGTTTTACATTTTATGAAGCTAAGCTTGAAAAGGGTTTTTAAATATTTATTTACTTATTATTATGTTTTAGCCTGTGGTCTCTTATAAACTCTATAGTAGAGGTGGGCGCCACGCCGCCGCCGCCGACGACCAGCTGTCGGCGCGCCGATACTGATACTGTACCAACTATTTGCAATTTATTCCTCTCCTATACTGTACTCATTTGTGTTTCGAATGCAGGAGAACTATTTTTTTATTGAGTTGAGCGGCTATTCTAGTTTTATAAAGTCCTAGTATCACTGCGACCGGTACCGATTTAATGTGATCGCCGCTATTTTCCTTACAGTTCGTCTCCGAGTCCTGCATCCATTAGGAATTGCAGTATCTTTTGGGGGGCGATATGTATTACATCCTGTGGGCTTAGGATGTGTTTGCCCAGGTGTAAGCTCCGCTTGCGCATCAAAGGTCCGCAGCCGTGAGAATGTGTAGTGGCGTTTCATCTGCCTCTTGATACATCCTACGCGTTCTTGATTCGGACAGTCCCATAGTGGACAAGTGCTTGTTTAAGCTGCAGTGTCCAGTGAGGGCTCGAACTAAGATGCGCATTTTGGTCCTACTCAGTCCTATGATCTGCTTAGAACATTTTCGGTCATAGGCTTTTATGAGAGCTTCGGAATGAATGCGTGTCTGACCATGCCTTAACCCTTACACGCTTATAACTAATCCAAACTATAAAATTATTTTTTCTTTAGTCATATCTATTTATTTTAGTCTAATTTAACATAAAAGTAGTACAGAAAATATATGTGCTATGTATTTCAGTGTTTTTCAGTAGGGGACACATATGTCCCTATATGCGTTAAGGTATACATTGCCTCATATATTGGAAATAAAATACTTCGACGCTTTTGTTGCAAAATAAATACAAACCACACTATAAATACAAATGAAATTTAATCAATAAGCATAATATTAATATTTATAATAAGAAATTTAAAATAGATAGCGTCTTATCTTACGTATTTTTATGTTTGATCCTCATCTCATCATAGACCTTTTTCTTGAAGTTAGACCTACCTAACTTGACTGTTGTTGTCCAAAAACAACTTTGAGTGTAGAGTCCAAACCTTCAAAGGAGTGCTGTAACACGATATTTGACATGTTTTTTTCGTCTTGTCCATATTTATTTTGAATCCCATTTATTGGGAGCCTCTACTGAGGCCATAAAGCATTGATTCTAGGTCTTCCAAGGTCTCAGCCGTGACTATAATCGTTGAATCTTACTTGGGGGGATAACATCCGAGAAGCTTCGCGACATCTTCTTATCAAAAATACCACGATGTCTCACGACCTTTGATAGAAAGACTTTGACCAATGTGTGTTGGCTGTGATGGCGCACGGAACGGAGACGTGTTCCTTCACTATGGGCCTCATGAGAAGGCTCAAAGTCACCCAAAGTCTGATGAGGAGATCCGCAGGAGAGCCAAAGTAACAGACATAGCCCGCAGAATTGTCAAACTTTCGCGGCAGTGGGTAGGGCACATAGCTCGCAGAAGTGAGCGTAGAAAATTTCTCAAGTGGCGCCCACATAAAGGAAGACGCAGTGTGGCAGGCCTCATGTTCCTGTGCTTCTCGTATACATTTATGTATACGCGCAGCACAGAAACAATCGTTGTGGAAGTCCTCAGGGGAGGCCTCTGTCCAGCACTAGACGCCCTTTTATTCAGGAGGAAATCATCCTCATTGTCACTATCATCAGTCATCATGACTTCCAAAATTTCGTCTTTCCTGAGCGAATTTTTTTATGTCGATTTGAAGACAAATGATTTACAAAAAATGTATGAATATTATAATAAACATCGATATAAACATACAAATTATAACAACGCAAACAATATCCCTAGTAAGAACCAAGTTTCCCTTGACGCATATAGGGACACCTGTGTCCCAATTAGATTTTTACCTATTATTCCTAACTTGTACGAAGATAAATGAAAATATGCAATAAAACGATAATTATACTTACCATTGAATGTAAAATTGGAATAAACACAGTAGCAGAAAGCCGATAAGTAATCTATATATATAAAAATGAAACCCGTTTCGCGTTGTCACGGCATCACGTGTGAACGGCTGAACCGATTTCGATAATTCTTTTTTTTAAATGTTTGTGAAAGTCCAAGGATGGTTCTTACGGAAAAAAATATTAAGAAAATCTCTACGCTAAGGCGGTACGAAGTTCGCCGGGTCAGCTAGTAAAAAAATAATATTCAATTTTGACGTCTAACGAATCTTTTTTTCACATGTTGTGCCAGTACTTTTTTACACATGTAATCGAGTTTTTTATTATTTCTAGCGCATAATCATAAAAGGTAATAATAAAATTTAAGAATATTAAACTACAAATGGTTGAACTTAACCAGTATTACTGTAAATCGTGAAAACTATGTGGGGACAAATGTGTCCCATATGCGTGAAAGGGTTAAAGGATTTGTTTAAATAGATGTTCTCCAGGGTCATTCGAGCGAGACTTTTGGGAATGCCACAAAAGGGTTCTGGACCATATTGTGTTCCCTCCGCTCCCGCTCTGGCCAGTTTGTCGGTATTTTCATTGTCACGATTCCCGCATGACCTGGAACCCATCTCAACGTTACTCTGTTACGTTCTCTTAGGGTATTCAGTCGACTCATGCAGTTTTCTACCAACTTTGAGGTGATTAAGTTGGAGTTTAAGGCCATCAGCGCGGCCTGTCTGTCTGAGTTAATGTAAATTATGTGGTTGGCATAATTTTTTCGCAGGTTAGCTTCCGCACATTCAATAATGTCGTAGACTTCTGCCTGAAAGATAGAGGCAAATTTACCCAGGCTTTGAGATAGCCTAAGCTTCCGCTGCTCTCCATACACGCAAAAGCCTACGTTAGGGCCCATTTTTGACCCATCAGTAAACCATAGAAGAACTAACTATAATATTTATTCTTTAATGCCATATAGATTGGTACACAAGCCGAACTTAATACCGTTAATATAGTAATAAATTGATTGAATAACTTAATACTAACTATATTAACAGCTTATTACATTATTCAAGTTGCTGCTTGGTCTAGTAAATAATTGATCGCGAGAGGTGCCGGTCCCTCTTGCTGTCAAGAAAAAAATCCTCGCGTTCGTCTGGCAGACAATTCACACTATTGGACTATACTTTAAGCGAATCACTCGCACAGAGATTGGCAAATATGTCTCGGAATACAAATGGGAACCACAACCTCTGGAAGGCAACAAAGTACCTCCCTCAAAGTGTTCTCCGCTTATTAGGTCCGATAATACATGAGTGCGAACTGACAAGAAAAATCTCAAACCTTTACTACATGACAAACCGGTTTATTTAAACCCATTGACACGGATAATATAATCCAAAAAATCCACAATTCAATAAAAAAAATAAGATTAAGCATTGGACTTGATCAGAGACTTGCAGCTATGCCTGCCTTTGATTCCTACTGATGATGATGATGCATCCGACCGATTTCGGTCATGGTGACCACTTCGACTAAGCTGTCTTAGCGGCGCTGGTGCGCCCGAAGATGGCTTACCTAGCCGATCTTCGCGGCAAACTTCTCGCACATTGAAAGTTATTACCCGCCGCCAACATTATTATAGTGCATGGCGGCAGATGGACGGGATTTACATCATCGCGTTTTGCATCGAGTTCAGTTGTGCGCTGCTCCTTGAATTCGACTCGCCTCTACACAACACAATCTCCCGCCATTCTAGGTGCTGTGCTGCCAAACCTTTCCATTGTGATTTGAGAGGGCCCATTTTGCATCTTTTCGTATGCTGCTTCTGGACATCTTTGTACTTAGTTATTTAATTTTTAGCGTTAAGAGTCGCATCTCTTTTTATTAGATTACTTTAGATTTAGCGGAAGGTCGTGGGTTCAATTCCCGCCTTAGGCAGTTCGATTTTTTCAAGTTATTTATAATTTTCAAATATTTGTACTTGACTATCTGAGGAGTTGACCGACATGTTTCCGCTTACCCTGCTCAAGTTAAAAGTAGAAGATTGATTCCTACTACGCTAATTGAGGACGAAAAACGCAGGAGGACAAAGTGACAGATATAGCCCACAGAATCGCTAAAATCAAGTGGCAATGGCGGGGCACATATCTCGTAGAGCTGATGGCCGCTGGGGCAGTAAAGTTCTTGAGTGGCGACCACGAGCCGGAAGACGTATCGTGGGCAGGCCTCTCACTAGGTGTACCGACGATTTGGGGAAGATCGCAGGAAGTGCCTGGATGCGAGCGGCGCAGGACGTCTTTCGGCTGTAACGAAAGGACTAACGCTAAGATGGCTAAACTAAAGAAATAGCAAAAATGGACCCTCGTAAAGCACTTGCATTTAATCTGATCACCATGCAGTCCATGGTCTTGACAATAACCACACTGAGTGAGAACCTCGCAAGTCTCTTAACTTTGGAAATGATCCATAAGGCTGGCAAGTCGCCTAACGAATTCACTTATAGCTCAATTAATCTGAAATTTGTATTGTTAAAATTATGGAAAAGGATCATTCTTGCTCGTTTATTCCTTTGCCTAAGTATGACCCATGTTATATAGTATACCCGACCATAAATTTTGGCAGAAAACATACCAACCATAATCTGTACAATGTTTGGAAAAGAAAGAATCCTGTACGTCTGCTTTCGCTGCGGCTTCCGCTGGGTTTATCATATAGTAGTCCTATATGGTAAGCCCAGCGGAATTAAAAAGTACCTTCTAGCACACTTCTACTATCTGCTGATGGATTCTTATCTCAGTGACAGACAGTTTTAAATCAAACTCGGTGACAAAATCTTCTCTTTTTAGAGCAGCAGAGCTGGAGTACCTGCATTAATATCCTGGACCGTAGGATAACATGGAAAGACTATAAATATAAATAAAACAGAACTGAATTAGTATTCCACCGACAGTCAGCTAATCCAAAATTAACTATTTGTGCCTCCAAAGAGCTCAAAAATACATGTTAAGGGTACTTTTATCGGCACATTGGTACGCTTGCCTTTAGGAAATATACGAGAACCTGATCTCAGCCAAACCCGCTATCCAAATATCAAAGTATCTAATTTACTAGGGTAAACCACTGCTCTAGTGGCTCAAACTCCAAGTAACTGCAAATCACCTGATTAATCTTGACGGCAGATACTAAAAAAGCAGATTTTTGAAAAAAAACCTAATTAACAAAGGTCAAACAAGGTCACGCCGCCGACGCCGCCGCCGCCGAGGTCAAAAAGTCGGCGCGCCGCCGCCGGCCAATTGTATATCGGCGCCCACCTCTAGTATGATGTAAGAAAATAAAGAAAATGGTGTACTAAATACTGTGCAGTATTTAACTGTCTACATAATAATAAAAACACAGAATGTACTTTTTTAAGTTGCCTCAAGACACTGAGAGGTAAATAAGTAGTTACAAATACAAATACAAATATTTTATTTATGCAAACACACCGTTTACGCATACACCTTCAAATACAATTGGTAACAATAAAATCATATTAATATTATTCATGATATTTCCTCCGCCATTTTCCGCAGTTTGGCACCTCACGTCACATCATTTTACCGAAGTCAGCCCTTTTGTCGGCCGATAGTTTAGTCGGGCAGTTAATCATGCGCATGTATGGAAGTGCGCACATTACACCGATTTGATTTTCATACAAATTAGAAGCGGACCCAACTATCGGCCAACTAAAAGTCGGTGGTCTGCGCATAGGCTAATGCATAGTACCTTTCAAGCTGTAGATCCTGGCTACACAGGAGTTGCAGCGGTGGGAACCAGAGGTGGGAATAGTCCAGTGTTTGTCAGTATAAAGCAAACGTACCGTTCATATAAAGCCACCATCCCTGCACAGAGGGAGTCCCCGCTTCATGCACCGTCCGCGTCTGTCCATCAATGGGCCGGCCTCCGGAGTCCTGCAGGATGTATAGAGAGAGCACCCTGTTGTGGAGATCTAGCACCCTCTCTGCGACTGCCTCTGACATTGTTACGTAGCGTTTGTAACAGGCCTGTAAAAAAAAACAACAATCTTATCAATAAGCTAGCTCGATTCGTCTTTCGATAATACAACTAAAATAATACAAAAAAGTTAAACCCGGGACGAACTTTGGTTTAAAATGACAAAAAGTGTTCGTCTGAATAACTTAAGTAAGATCAGAGAACAAATGAGTAGGTCATAGTAAGTGGAGAACTAACAGTTCTTACAAAATCAGTCAACATTGAACCTGAGGTGCATCTTACCAGAGTAAATACAAATGAGTAGGTCATCTTCACAGAAACGCACCGAGCGCGGTTTGTATGTGAGCGCGCGCCAATACGTAAGTATGAGGCGCGCACGCACATACTGACAAAATTCAGCGCAGCTCACCGCTAATCCACGCTAAATTGAGAATGAAGATGACCTACTCATTTGTATTTACTCTGGTAAGATGCACCTCAGGTTCAATGTTGACTGATTTTGTAAGAACTGTTAGTTCTCCACTATTCCAATGATTGAATTAGGCCCGATTCGACCAAACTTTTATCCGAGAATAACTCCTGGTATAACTGACACATTGATTGTATTTATCTTTAGAAGTAGTTTTCACTCCTATGACGAAGTGGTTACTTCTAACTCTATGTTTTAAGGTTGACTCTATGGAAGCAACTTTGAAGACTTATTGCAAAATGTACCTATACTTAGTCGAGTGAAAAATGAACTACATTTTTTTTGGAGTTTAAACCATATTACATTAGAATAAATTACATATTAGTGCTTGTGACGGAAATATCTCTAACCTGCAGCAAAGATAGTCTCTCTGAGCTGCCCATATCCTCAACGTGTTGCAGATAGCAGAACAGACTGTTCTTCAGCAGGGCAGCTGCTCCAAGAGTAGCCGTCAATACTGGCAAGTCCGCGTGATCGAGAGCTTCTTGGGCCAACATATGCAAGTGCTCTAGAAGTTGACAAAAGAGACTTTGTGACGTTGATGATAAGGGTGTGAAAAGTTAAGAGAAACCCTGATCAGAATAGATATGTAGAAACATGCAAATATGGACCTTAATGCTGAAGGACAGATGTTCTGAAAGTTGACAAAAAACATGAATAAAAGAGACTTTATAACGTTGATGATAAAGGTGTGGAAAGTTGAGAGAAACCCTGATCCCCAAAATGCTGGAGGTGTTAGTACAAAGGACAGCAACAAATCAGTTTAGGTTTTATTAGCACTGGGGCATCTTATGTAGCTGTAACAAAAGCGNTCAGCAATTATTTTGTAATACTTGTTTCATTTACCCCTTGGTCATTTGGGAAAGTTCAACATGAAAGCGTTATTGGCTTATGATAAGCGCAGTAAAATTGTATTATTACTGCGCATTTAAAGTTTTGATAAATTATTTTGATTCACACTCCCACTCATAAATGCAGTAAGTTGTAAAGATACGGCGCATATATTACGTTGTAAGAACTAAAATTTAAATCAATCATTTAACACATGTACCGTAAGTAACGAAAACTACTGATAAACGCAGTAAGGAACAATCATACTGCATTCATGGGTAGTAAGTATCGAACGAAAACTTAGTTAATCCATAACATAAACAGTTTTTTAATAATTTTAAATACAAAATATTAATTAAAATACAAAAACCTCATATCAAAATAAACTTTGAGTTTAGCTCTATAAGCCCATATATTTTTTTTTACAAATATTTGCGTAACTAATTGTAGACACCCCAAAATAAAATTTCAACTTTGATCGCGATTTTCTCGAAACTGTTCACGTGTTACTTACTGCGTTTATAAATTGTGCGGCAGCGTACGACATCAACAAGCGAAAAGCGTCATCGCGCCCTTGGAATATCCCGTCGGAAATCAGTAGCCTTTCTATTATTTACGTAATAAAGCCTAGATCAGTATAACATTACAGTTTTCCCAGAGTAACATTCAATTTGAATGCGAGAATGTGATCACTTCATTACTATCTAATTATTATGATCAAATATTTTGATATTAAGAACTTTGGCAGAAAAGTTTTGTTTATAAATGAGTAATAATATAAACATTTTGTTTACAGAGCCGAGTCAGCTGAAATCTACTACATGAATAAGTCGGAACATTCACCCGGAAAAGATTCCCTTCTAGTCAAAGTAAGAATGCTTTCTTTCATATACTTTAAATTTGGTTTATCTTAGATCACGGTTTCCTATTAAATGCTATACGCGGCGAACGACGTCGGCTTCAAACGTTCCTATGGACGCCGACGTCTGATAAAAGACTACAATAGTACATTTTCATAGTTAGCATTATGACGTGGCTTACAGCGTGACGTGACGATGTACGGGGCCTACGCCGTTTATTGAGTTTATAGTACCCAAAGAAGTAATCTTTCGGTTACGAAATTAACCTGCACCACGTTTCACCTTATTACTCAATGTGCGTCTTTAGCATTTAGGCGGGTTTTAGAATCGCGCTGACCGCACGCTGATCATCGGCGCTGACAGATCAATATGTATGTAATTGAAGGGAACGTTCCTGAGTGACGCTGATCGCTTGGCGCTGACGCTTCATACATTTTGGCTGTCAGCGCTGACGGTCAGCGTGACTAAAACTAGCCTTACTCACACTGACACGTTTATTTGCAGGACGAGACGTTCCCTGAGCTGCAGGCGGCGGGAGCGGAGGCCGAGGAGGGAGCGGAGCGCCCGGCCTCGGCCGATGCCGACGACCGCGGCGGCGCCGCCTTCCCCAAGGCCTTCGATAGAGAACTCGTCACGCCCACCGCGCTCCAGGTAACTACTTAGGGCAGAAACTGCGTTCATACAAAGTGCTCCGTCGCGGGCACCCCGCGCGGGGGACTTTCGTATGAAACCGCGCCGGAGCCGCTTAAGGCTTGGTATTTCTGCTAAAGTAGGTATTTCGCGCTGTCAAAATCTGCGCGCGCAATACTTCGCCGAAGACAGCGCGCCAAAGAGCTCTCGCGGCTACACAGTATAGAAATACCAGTTGGTTAGGTTAGGTTGACTTCCTTCCGTTCAAGCGTCACACTCACAGCACTTTCTAATACAAATCATATCCAAGTGATACAAATTAAAACAACTTTCAGAATTTTTGGGAATATATTTTAGAATCGAATAAATATAAAATATAACTGCCAAAGTCACCCGACCTATCGTTAGGTCCTCGGGAGCTTGAGCGATTGGAAAAACATTTTATGATCAGTTACTCTTAGTAGCGATTATTTAGAGCTTGGATAATAAATTATAGTTGTTGCAATTCACGAAACTTTGCATGTGGTTAATTACATTAATCAGTACACGCATCAATTTTGTTCAGTCTTTTTGTCTATTAATAAATAAAAATATCATAATAAAATTGCATACATATTTTTTTGTATTGGTCTGGGTGTTTTCTTTCCATAATTTATGTATAACGTATGTACGGGGCTCTGTATTGAAAATCACTATGAGCATCACACGCGGTTACCTGCCGCAGGCACCCGCTCTGAGCACTCATGGGAGTTTATGCAGAGGTCGCTAGAGTTTGACTTTGAGCTTTGTTTATAGTCATTACGAAGCAGATTTTGATGGGAAACTGCACTGTCTTGAATTGGAAAGGGTAATTTGACGGTGTTAGGGGAATTCTAGGAATAAATGCAGAGCCTCCTCATTGAAATTGAGACATTTCAATTTGAGATTTCACTTGACATTGATTGCAATCTGACATGGAGTTTTCAAACACTTGTAAAAATAAAAAGTAATTAAATCAAAAGCAGTAAGACTCCCAAAATAACTTTCTACCCCTTTTACACGTTTGTCATAAATTATAATATTAAGGAATTGTTAAGCAAAATTTCAAGTAGATTGAACCAAATAATCACTGTCCCATACAAACTTTGCCCCCTTATTTCACCCCCTTCATTTCTTGACCCCATTTCGGAAAATCGGATGCCTACGTCATACAAAGAACACACCTTCCAACTTTCAGGTCTCTACGATATCCGTCAGTCATTTAGGACTAAGCATTTTTATTAGTTGTCCAATACTCTATCGTTCCAGGTATGTCATTGACAGGAGGGCGCTACTATCTTAATGGGTTATTTATTAGTCCCAACTTTATACCACTTGACATTTCAGAATCGTTTGACTTTAGATACCTAAGCGATTTGATATTCAGAGTCCCTTAATGAAATCAAGTTCTAAAATAACTTGAGGTGTTGTACCCGATCAAGCTTTTCATTGCAGGACAGTTAAATAGTTTTATTATTAGTTTCTTCTTTAAGTCTTGATTTGTCAGAGTAGGTAAAGGCTCCATGAGAGCAAAATTTAGCTTTATAATAGTTTTTAATTTTTTTCTTGAAATATTTGACGCCTTGTAATCTCTCGTTAATATAGGTCCACACAAATAAAGAATGTTTGACTTCGACTTTAATAATTATGCTCTTACATAATTAGAATAATATAAGAATAAGAATTTTTCGGTTTTTATATAAGGTGTTATTTTTTTAACTGATCATATTTTACCAACACATCCTATTACCCCCTATTGGGTTAGTAGTAGTTTCGCACGATTTTCCTTCGCACGAATATGCGAAACGTCCCCTTTCAATAATAATTTTTTTTTAGTAGGCGTTTCGCCCGGATGTATTAGAAGTATTAAAATCGCGTGCGAATCGACTCTTTTTTGAACTAGTAGTATGCGATTACTAGTTCTCAAAGGGGTCGATTCGCACCCGTTCGATTGTGAAAACCAAACTAATATATTTACTGTAAGTAAATGCTAAATAGTAAATATTAGTTTGGATTGTGAATATCCTATCCTACTATAATATTATAAAGGCGAAAGTTCGGATGTCTGGATGTCATGATGTCTGGATGTTTGTTACTCTTTCACGCAAAAATTACTGTACGGATTTTGTTGAAACTTTATAGTATTATTGTTTATAACCCAGATTAACATATAGGCTAACTTATGACGATATGTGACAAATAAATTTCAATAAATAAATAAGACGTGTCTAAAAAGCGAACTCTACCTATCGTCATTGGTTAAAATCTACAGCGCTGGACAAACTACTGTATGACGTTCGTAAATATTCATTCGGGGGAAGCCGTGAAACGCCATCTATCAACATGATATCTAACGGGGGTAAAACGAGGTCCACGCGAACGAAGTCGCGGGCGGCCGCTAGTTTATAATAGGTAGCTTTCCCTCCGCAACCTTATTGGTATTCCATGTATGTGTCTTTTAACTGATTTCTGTTAAACATTTCATGTAAAATTTGTCCAGTTATAACTCCATTTACATCTGCATCTGTAAACAAGGGTTCATGTTCTCCAGCCCAGATGCCGAGTAAACAGAATCGTCTTTCAGTGACGTGCAGCTGCCCCTATATTTGACCCTCTGACCTAATTTTTTATTATTTATTTGTATCAGTGTGCTCTTCTAATAAGTGTAAGACGATTGTATGTAGGTACTATTAATATGTAATTTTAACTCATTGGTTTTGTCTCATATTTAAGGAATTTACTATGTATCATGAGTAGAGTCTTCGTTTAAAAGGATGCGAACGATTTAAATTTCAATAGGTAGACAAAATTGATAATTCTTAATTATCAAATATTTTAGCTTTCTCCAGTAACACTGATATTATTATACTGTGACTCATCAAAGTCATCATTGTCAAAAATATTGACAAATCGCGAACTGTCACGTCCAAAAAACTGACACGCGTCCGTCCTCCGTAAGCGCCACCGCGCGACTGATTGAGATTGTCCAAGCCGTCATGGACGATTTTTTCCACATTTTTTAACATAGTAACTAAATAAGACGCAATATAAAAATTCCATCCGTTAAAAGCCCTCAAGTTATTTCTGAACTTTAGTTTAGTAAAAGATTTAGAATCTCAAATCGCTTATTTTAAAAATAAAACCATAATTAGAAAACGAATAGAGGTAACTTTGGGAATTTATTCTATCGAGTCAACTTCATCAAATCGTGTTTCCATCCGTTAATAGCCCTAGAAAATATCCTCAACTATGCCCAATAAAAATCTTAGCCTTTAATTTTACTGTTTAGTACCTCAAAAATGAAAAATGAAAACCTCATTTTCGCCATTTTCTCTGCTACCCGGCCTTAACGCAGTTTCGGGCCTTACACCTCCACCAGACTAGGACTGCCTGAAGTCATTTTTACCGTAGCAGTTCAGGCACCTAGACATGATTATATCAAACTGTACTTTGTATTGTGTGAGTGATCACCAAAAGTAGTCAGACAAATAACTTAAAAATCAGTACAAGAGATGAAGTGTGACAGATGCGCGGTGGACTTGCGTCTTAGGCTGGTTTTAGTGTCACGCGGACCGTCCGGTGCGGACCCGCTCCGCACGGCCAATCTATAAATGAACTTCTAGAGAGCGTTTTAGAGTAATGCGGTCCGGAGGAACCGCTCGCTCCCTAGCAGTTCCATACAGATCGGCTGTACGGAGCGATTCGCACTGACAGTCCGCGTGACACTAAAACCAGCCTTAAACCGATTGCCAAAATGCGGTGATTAAACTGTCACACCTACGCTATCCATGTGCACTCACACAAATGCAAAGCTCAGCTTAGGCCTCACGAACTGTAATACGCAACAAATGTAATGTTTCTTCAGTTTCAACGCGGCACAATGGCGAGAACAGAAAGTACTCGAAGCGAATCTCCTCGTGTTGTTTGCCATAGATCATGGAACTTGTGTAGTTTCACATTAGTAATTAAGATGCCATTCACATCAGAGTTTCCATTTAAGCGTTCCGTTTGATTTATGAAAGCTGTTAAGAAATTAATCAATCGCAATCTCTAGTGCGCTAGCCCACTAAAGGTAGTGGTAGACTTGTCTGTTTATGCCACTTAGTGCTTCTTTGTTTTTTTCGCTTGCTTATTTTGTTTTTGTTCTGTTTCTTTTCAGCAGCAAACCGCAGAAGATAGGCGGAAATCATTGCTTGACCATCATTGGGCAATACCTAGCAAGGATAGAATGTCAATTGATCAGGGAAGTGAGGTCAGTATCGCTTTTGCCTGGAAACGCTTTTGATGTTAAAACTATTTGTACTCTTCATCGTTGTTTTCAAACCTGTATGTAAATCACTTAATCACAACTATTCAGTATTTTATCCACTGTTTCACAAATACAATCACAGTGCACCCTTTACTAGAAGTTTATGAACGACGAATAGAGTGTTCTTCTTTTCTTTGTCGGCCTACATCTCTATCATTCTCTACCTACGTGAAAGAGATAGTGCTCTCTCACTCTCTACCCCTGTCTTACCCCTGTCTACCCCTGTCTTACATGCTTACCTTCTCACTTAGTCTTCTATTTTGCTGGAAAATATTACAAAGATGACAAAAACCTCTCAACACCTCTGTCATCTCCAGGTGTCATCAGGCACCGAGCATACCAAAGATGAGAGCCTCGAGGCGAGCGTATCGCGCTCTCGTGGCAACAGTACTACGGGTGACGCCGCCGAAGTGGCAGAGGCGCCCGACGCTCCCGATGAACCGCGTGACGACGCGCAGCACCTTGTCAAGCTGTCTTACCATGATTCCGGAATTGACATACGCGACCCGCTGCTGCATGTCACGCCCACTAACGCCAAAAAGGTATGTTAAATTAACAAGTAAATTGATCTACCTATGAGAGAATTAAGGCTAGTCGCCTCGAGGCGAGTGCTTTCCGCTCGCGTAGTTTTAATACTACGGGTGACGCCGCCGAAGTGGCAGAGGCGCCCGACGCTTCCGATGAACCGCGTGACGACGCGCAGCATCTTGTCAAGCTGTCTTACCATGATTCCGGAATTGACATACGCGACCCGCTGCTGCATGTCACGCCCACTAACGCCAAAAAGGTATGTATTAACAAATAAAGTGATCTGCCTGTGAGAGAGTAAAGGCTAGCTGCCTCGATACGAGCGTATCCCGCTCGCGTAGTGAAAGCACGGCAGGTGATGCAAGGTGTTGCGCAGGACCATATCAAGCTGATTTACCATGACTCGGGAATACTCGGGATTTGATATACTTACGCGACCCGCTGTTGCACGTCACTAACGCCAAAAAGGTAATCTTGGAAGTTTCCTATATTAGGTTTAATGTTTAGTTAGCGCCATCTATTAGTGGCACAAGAGCAGTTCGTTACTTCTTGGAGATTTTACAATGTTATTTTTACCTAATAACAAAGCATAAATTATGCTGTGACTTGAGAGGGTCAAAAATCTGACCAATGATCCGACCGATTACACCCCATCAAACAACGATTTGGGCGAAAGAGTTCTCAAGCTATATCTTGTTCCATAATAAATGAACATAATATTTTTCTAGGACCATTATCTCCACTACCTTCACTTCGATCATGACGATGAATATTACCACGACATCCTCGTTGACACGATATACGAGGCGGCGGAAACTGACGTATCTATGTACGATAACTGGCACTGTGACGCCGCGTACGAGGCAAAATTCCTCAAGTGTTACGATATGGAGGTGTCTTCTGACTCCTCGCACGATAAGGAGGTAATTCTGTCAAAAATCTGGTTCAAGGCCATTGTGATCGTGGATTTCTTCAGTGCCGATGTCAATTTTGATTGTTTTCTTCGCTGCAAATATGTTGTATCGTCAATTATTCGGTCTTCTTCTTTTTCTCTCTTTTTCCAGCGGAGTCTCTTTAGTTCTGCTTGACAATTACTTTTATCTTTTTTTTTCTAAATGTACCTTACTTTTTATGTGAGAAATTGTCTCTTATTGAAGGTTATATCAGTCTTCTACTTGTTACAAATCCCAAAGAAGGTATGATCTTTTCGTAACGTCACTTGCCACTTCTAATTTATGTCATTATAATGTATGACAACTGACTGAATGACAACTAGGCAAACTTTGCCTCCAATAAAAACGCACCAGCGCAATTTATTTTCTACAGTCATTGCAAGAAAAAAAAACATGGTTTATACTATCATAGATGTAATGTATCGTCGAACGTTTATGTAAATCTTTTCTATTTTCCTTTAGGTATACAGCGACGCAGATATAGTGCTATCGGCGGATTGGGTGCCCCCAGTGTGCCTGGCTCGCGCTGAGCCCCCGCTCTCCGCACCCCCTCTGGGCGAGAACGAGAGGCGAGAACCGCGTAAGCCTGCGGCCGTCTCTTTCTCGCTTGATGGGAACACGCAAAAGGATGATAGCGGGAAACCTGACAAGAAAAATAAGGTACGTAGATTAGTAGGGAATTTAGTGCAATGATTTGTATGGAGACCCCTCCACTTTGGTATAGAAGGCTCATTTTTGCACCAGTTGTTTTTTGGGTGCTCCTGAGTAGATTTCCGTCGGTAGACATCGGGAGCCCCCCCTGTGGTAGCAGGGGGAGGGGGGGCAAGTTTCCTTCTGCCGCGCTTCACTTTAAGGCCCATATCTTCAAAATTATGGGTATTAGGGCAAGGATGGTGTCATTTTCGGATAATTAAAGGATGGCGAATTCATTTCTAGAATAAACTTTTTGCTTTTTCATACAAAAAAATAGAAATATGGAGTAAAATTCACAAAAACCAAAAAGTATTTTTTAAAATAAACGTCGTTTACTTTTAAACCACTGGAGATAATCTAATAAAAAAATATGTCCTGAAAGCTACATTTATCAGGATTGTAAATGTATACCATTGTATGGTACTTTTTTTGAAAAAAGTAGGTGAAAAAAAATTTTTCTTCAGGACACAGCGGGCGAATTTTAATGCGCGTCGGGAAAAAATATCTATTTTATCCATGAATTCATACTATTTGGTTCATAAGCAAGTTAAGATTATTATTTTAGAATTTATTTAGAGTTCCTGGCACATCATGCTACCATGATTTGTATTTTTTCTTCAATTAATTTTGAACTCTATGTGTAAGAAATAAGGTTGAAAATAGTTTAAATATATTGTATTATTGAAAATATCATAAGAAGAAAGCACTAAATAAAGAACTTGAATTTGTTTGAACGTCTAATGATTATTATTATTATTTTAATTAACATTTTTATTTCTACATACTATTGTACCAGTGATAAGGGAAAGGTAAGTGATCATAGTACGGGAGATTAGTTTTAGCACAAAGGCTACGGCTGTGACCATTATAGTTGTTTTTTCAGACAGCACCAGCTTCTGCAATACTTCTTTCCAGGCAAGCTTCGGCAGCTACGGGCAATTGGTCCATGTAGGCTCCATATTGCTATCGATTCTGGTCCACCCCCAACCAGTCGGGTAAAGGGAAGACTGAGTCGGTTGCTTGCAACTGACCATATACGCGAACCCCTTGAACCAACTAAATTTTAAATATTTTGAAAAAATCATAAGGACATAATTACTGCCCTTGATATACTGATACAAAACTGCCTAGGTTGGTGGGCACTTACAGCACTCGTTCATAAAGTAGTAATAAACATATAAAGTCAAGCATGTAGTAATAAACACAGTGAACGTTTAAGGAGGTTTGCTACAGTATTTCAAGCTGAATTCTACGCTATAATTATGTGTGCACTAAAAACAGGGGTGTAAGAAACGCAATATTTACATCCTTAGCCACAGCCAGGCAGCACTCAAACAAAGCCATCGCCTCAGTGAAGGTTGAGTCTAGAATTAGGTATTCTAGATGCAATCTTAAAGATGAACAAACTCTGAAGGCATGACAAAGTGTCCCTAATGTGGGATACCTGGACATACACGGATCGAATGCAATGAGAGAGCCGACAGTCTAGCGAGACAAGGGTCAGAGACGATAACTATTGGGTCAGAACTGATCTTTATCTAAAAGCTTAGGTACGTCATGGCCATAATATGGCCATATCCAAGAATAACAGGGCTGAATGGGAAAGCTTCAACGATATAAGCCTCTCCAAATCATTCCTAAAGGGAAATACAGGGTCATGAAGAAAACTTTTCAAAGCTATGCCCAAGCAATTACAGGTACGCAAACTGGGCATTATGGAACGAATCACATGTCCCACAAAATGGGCCTAACAACAGAAGCTCTCGAGCATGTGGAATACAATGTGGAGTCCATGAAACACTTAATACTGTAAGGATGGGTCTGCTTGGGTCAGCATATCCGGCATCAAAAGACTATAAGGTGGCTTTCACTCAGACGCTTAATTCACTTAACTAATGGATAGGATTTTTTTGGATGATAGGGAATAAAAAAGGGAGAATAAAGATCCTAATGGGTCGCTGTGGACTACGCTTAGGTGTGACCCTACATAAACTAACCCAGACAGCTTTGTATCAGCATTGGCTACTGGCAGTATATTAAGGGGTTCGCGTATAGGATCAGTTGCAAGCAACCGACTCAGTCTTCCCTTTATCCCACTGGTTGGGTGTGGACCAGAGTCGATAGCAACATGGAGCCTACATGGACCGATTTGCCCGTAGCTGCCGAAGCTTGCCTGGAAATGGTGAGATGTAAGTGCAAGAAGTAGTGCAGATGCAGGTGCTGTCTGAAAAAACAACTATAATGGTCACAGCCGTAGCCTTTGTGTTAAAAATAATCTCCCGTACTATGATAATATCAATCCTCACTTTCCTCACACTTACCTTTCCGTTATCACTGGTACAATAGTATGTAGAAATAAAAATGTTAATTAAAATAATAATAATAATCATTAGACGTTTAGACAAATTCAAGTTCTTTATTTAGTGCTTTCTTCTTATGATATTTTCATTAATACAATGTAATTAAACTATTTTCAACCTTATGACTTACATATAGAGTTCAAAATTAATTGAAGAAAAAATACAAATCATGGTAGCATGATGTGCCAGGAACTCTAAATAAATTCTAAAATAATAATCTTTACTTGCTTATGAACCAAATAGTATGAATTCATGGATAAAATAAATATTTTTTTCCGACGCGCATTAAAATTCGCCCGCTGTGTCCTGAAGAAAAAAATTTTTTCACCTACTTTTTTCAAAAAAAGTACCATACAATGGTATTATTTATAATTCTGATAAATGTAGCTTTCAGGACATATTTTTTTTATTAGATTATCTCCAGTGGTTTAAAAGTAAACGACGTTTATTTAAAAAAATACTTTTTGGTTTTTGTGAATTTTACTCCATATTTCTATTATTTTGTATGAAAAGGCAAAAAGTTTGTTCTAGAAATGAATTCGCCATCCTTTAATTATCCGAAAATGACACCACACTTGCCCTAATGCCCATAGTGTTGAAGATATGGGCCTTAAAGTAAAGCGCGGCAGAAGGAAACTTGCCCACCCTCCCCCTGCTACCACAGGGGGGGCTCCCGATGTCTACCGACGGAAATCTACTCAGGAGCACCCAAAGAACAACTGGTGCGAAAATGAGCCTTCTATACCAAAGTGGAGGGGTTCTTGCACTAAATTCCCTACTAGATGTCTTGGATCAACATTCCTTTTGAAAATTGTTTGAATGAGGGCTACCGTATTTTCGCTCACTAGTTGGCGCTACAATGCAGTGATAGGATCTCTACATTCATTGGCGCTACCTACAGGGTGTTAGGTAAATGGGTATATGAGCCGACACTAGCCCATGTTAACATGGGCATATAAATGGTATGGCGTAGTTGGCGTCAACTGACGAGCTAAAATATGGTAGCCCACATTGTTAGTTGAATCCCTCAGTTAGGTTGAAAGAACACAATTTATTGTGATATACTGCAAGTTTGAAGATCTCCAAAAGCCGTAAACCTTGTAAAACACATTTAATTTTTTGGGTAGATGTTGAAGAGGCTGTCCTACCCTCTATCGTGGGTGGAAGGCCTGACAGGCGAGGGTGCTGCGGCGGGCTCGCAGGCCGACTCGCTGCCCACCTCGGCCGATAGCCACAATTCCACCAGCGTCTTCTCCAAAGTATTCAACAGGTATGCTCTATTTACACTCTTCAAAAACACTTTTAAGCTTGGGTTTTGGTGCATATATCTAATCAAAGGGTTTTGGCCGATTAATACGGGACTGACACTAATAATGATAATTTGAGTGACCAAATACTCCAGTTACTTACCAAGTTGCGTTAAATTGTGAGTGTGGCAAATATTATCAGCCAAACCACGAATGACTCAAGGACTGTATAGTTTTAACTAAGTTTGAAAATGTATTTTCTATTAATTTTTGTAAAAAGATTATGTGCCTAAAATGCCTACTCGTGTTGCACAGAAATGCAAACAGTAGCGATAGTGCTAATGTATAACATTTTTGCATTATACAACGTGGCGTGTCGCAATCTTTAAGACAATAATATCGCCCAATTTGGAGCACATTAATAGTAAATGATATTGAGGCACGCTTCGTCAGCAATTTATATTAGAATGCTAGAATGGAGCGGGATATGCTACCATCACATACAAAAACTTAAATGTATAAACATCTGTCACCAGGGTTGACTTGTATCTAGCCCTCACCACATAACGTACTCACTACATTATTACAACATCTAATGTAATGTTATCACAACCACATTCATTTCTGTAAACTATGCTAAATGTAAACTTGTCAGTGGCAAATGAAAATCACAAACAATAAAACTGTGGTTAATCAGATAGAAAATTGATATACTTCAAATCTGTTTCACAATACTGCACTCATTATTAAAAAAAAATAATCGTTGCTGCTGACAAAGCCCAAAAACATGCGCCCATACATACACACGCTAGCATAATAAAAAATTAATTGTTGAATCGTGATTTCTCCTTGCTACCGTGGATGCTAACCGTGGATACCATACCATCTGGCGGTAAAGCTCGCCTATGAATTTAGTTGAGTTCGGCACCGGATTGTTCCTGAGTAAGACGCCTTCGGAAGAGGCGCCGCAAGACGTCTTCTCGTCGTCGGGGTACGTCACGCTGCGCCACTGTCGATGTGCCAACTCCGTTATGTGTTGCCTTGAGGAATCCAGGGTCTTAGTGATGTTAACGTTTTGATTTTGTTGACGTACCATCGTAAAAATATAGGAAGTAATACGAATGAACGAAAGTGCGATTAGTAATCAAAGTGATCACGTCTCTAGCTATGATTATGATATACCATTGATTGAGACGATAATACCCCAACAGCAATGGTTTACAAATCGGAATGTCGATTCGAGAGGACGCTTAGTATGATCACCGTCGAAAAATTGACTATTATGGTGGTCTTAACACAAGAATATTAAAAGCTTACATAAATAAATAAGCAGTCGAATATCAGCTCAATAAACATTGATACGATTTTTATGTCAGTATTTCATTGCGGTTTTTATTTATATCTTTATGTAAATACATAAATACATCACTGAATCATGGTATAGGATAATGTCCCTTATAAAGTCGATACGTTAACGTCACTATGGCCCGCTTGTTTAGCCACATGTTTGTATTCACTCTTCTCTGTTTATTATTTATTAGGCCTTCCCACCGACATGACTGTGTTTGTTATTCTGTCGTCTTGTGTTGAACGCATGTGGATTTCGTATGACTAACGTGATAACGCATACCAAGTTCACAGTCGATCCCTTTACGTGTAAGATCCAAGTATTTGGATAGCATGATGTATATGTGATAGGCAAAGTTTCTTAGAGTATCATCAAGAGATTAGTGGTGTTACCCTATGTAGTAAGGTCTGTATCATAACCATAAAGTCATCTAGTGATCCATACTAGATGTTAAAAATGTTATTCTTGTTCGATTTGTGTCCTAAATTTTTTCCATCATTTCATCATCATCAGACACGGGCGTTTATCTTGTTGGCACCTTATATTTTAATGTCGTTTGTTTCCAATATTAGCATGTTAGCTTTAATGCTGATTCCTATTTTATAATAAGCCTTATGTGTTAATGTAAAAGGTAGGTAGGTACAAAGTTCATAAGTGTCTTTTTGTTAAAATTTGTGCAAACCCTTTTGTTTCCACAGGGGCTGAGGAGCCATGATTTTGAATATTGTGATTGTTATTTATTTCATCAGCTATTAGATGGCAAGGTATCATTGTACTGAATGATCCTTTTATGGTTATTTGTAACTTGACATACATCGGCAAGTATAATATCTGTCTTTTGAGTTTTCATATTAATTATCCATAAATAAGCTTTGCATACTTTGGATTAGGGTTTCTGATTTCTCGACTTATTTTTTTTCTCGAGTTTCGAGAATTCTCGAGGCCAAAGTCTCGAGTTTTCTCGGATCTCGAGTCTTTTAATGAAAACTGCTAAAATCGGTTGAAATTTATTAAAAACACAGGTTTTTTTTATCTAATATACTTACTTTTATGCACAACAACCAATATTAGAATTTAGTACCACTTATTTTGGTAAAGAAAGAAACAAAAAATTAAATCTTCTTTCATCATTAATATTTACTAATAATCATAACAAAAGTCATAAAGTCGCGTGTACTTTAAGGATAAATAACAATAAAAATCTGGAGCTACAATTGAATCACTTGTTTTCTAAAGAACACAAGTCCAAATAGCAAAATTACGATAAATACACTGGTCATCACAAAAATCGACCCTCCCGCGACAAGCACTTTCAAACGTATGCATCCCCACTTCCCACTAATATTGGCACCATTTAAAAGCCTAGTTCTAAGCTTCATTTCATTAAAGGAAAGGTTTTTACCCCAAAAATGTGTCTGTAGAAGAATCCAGAGTCACTTCTTCAAAAAATAGGTAGTTACGCTTGAGCCAACTGTCATAAACTATAAAACTGTTAAGTTGGGATTAATCGCTATCAATCTGTTAAAGAGGACACGTGAGATTATTATTTGGTTTTATAACCATCAAAATTGGTCTAATTGATCCCAGAGGTGAGCCCAAAGTGAGGTCTTTTTTCAAGTCACATTTATTGATGTTAATCGTTTAAATCGTTTATTAAGAAATTAAATGTGTTTTTCTTTAAGGATATTTATTGGGCTTTCAAATAACACCAATATTGTTGGGGCACCATGATTGTGTCAGTAGAAACGAGTTTTCCTGTAAAACGTAGGTGGGCCGATTTTTGTGATGACCAGTATAGTTTTTTTTATGAACAAAAAAAAACTTTTTAATAAATTTTTAAATTTCTCACAGATAACGACTTGAATAAACTTTACGAGGAGGCACGAGTTTAACAAATTTTTCAGTCTTTATATCAGTCAGTAGAGTTAAACATACATAATACGTAATATAGTATCATACTCGTTGTTGAATATTATTACTTACTTTCGATTGAGATCATTACTTGCAAATCAAATCAGTTAAAAAAGGAAAGACTAGGCCAGTCTAAAAGCAACGTTGACCTATTAAATAATTAAAAACTGTCTTTTGTCTAAGAAAATAGGCTTTCAAGAATATTAAAGCTTCAAAATCGAAACTCGAGAATTCTCGAGCTCCGGTAATTTTTTTCTCGTCTCGAATGAAGCCAAATTTCTCGAGTTTTCTCGAGTTCGAGAAAGCTCGAGCAGAAACCCTACTTTGGATGGATGGGGCAGTGTAAAAATGACCAAGGAATATTATACTGGATGCGGGCACCGCATTACCAGTCGCCAATATTGATCCAGCGATCCACCGCTGGCTGGTTTTGCGGCTGAGAAGAAAAAGAAGATTTATACTGACCGATGTCTTTGCCTTATTAAAACGATAACTTTGTACTGACTTTAAATCTGTGGCCTATTTACAATTTGTGTGGATATGTTGTAAACGTCATTTGTGGGTGCGCAGACGCAGCTCCTTGGGCGGATTCGGGCGCTCGCACACAAAATCCACTTCGAGCAGCTCCAGCCAGCAGCCGCGGCTCGACTATCGCAGCATGGTGTCGGTGGACGACATGCCTGATCTCTTCGCTTCCTTTGACAGTGAGTTATTTGTTCACTTGATCACTCATTGTGTAATGATGTGGACGTGCACTGTACACGTGATAGGTTTGATGCACACGTAGAAGTTGCAAAGCACAAGGCGCTCTTTATAATATATCACCATGACCCGTCATCGAATTCTATCACAAAAATACATTTGTATTTTTTATCAACTGTACTAATAGATGTGTGGTTTTCCTGGACTATGATTAATTAGTGATTTAATTATTTAAAATTATTTAGATTTTCCTCAAAACGGCACCGATGACAGCACATCATAATGAACGCTGACATCTTATCTAGTTGTAATGGGTGCGATTATGCAACATACGCTCGTATTTACAAACATTACTATGAGTTCTCACAGTGCGCGTAGTGACACACGAACCAATCACAGAGCTCTATTCAACGCTGTGCGTTCGATTTGCTGCTTCTTCAGCAAGCATCGTTTATGAATACGGGTGATAATGTCTCGTGAAGCAGTGATCTACTTATTCTATAATCGTTTATAATAACTTTCTATAGCTGTGTTCTTGTTCTAACAGAGTTAATACCGCGGCCCGCGCGCCCCAGCGACGACCCGCCGCTATATCTGCGCCTACGCATGGGCAAGCCTGCCGGGCGGCCGCTGCCGCGCACCACGCCGCTCATGTCCTACGGCCGCAAGCGCATGAAGCCCGAGTACTGGTTCGGCATCCCCAGGAACAGGTCAGTGACCTTGCTGCGACCCTTTAGGCCTTGAATACACCGGAGGACAAATCACTAGGATATAGATACACTAAGGAACAAATGGGGTGATGCTTTGCAATACAGGAGTATAACAACTACGAGGTCATCAAAGAGACTACGTCAGACGTACATTTGCTTGTGTAGCGCGTCTCAATTGTTTCACCGTTGCGTGTCATGTAGGCTAGTAGACTTTCTCCATTAGTGTATCCAAGGTCCTTCACTAGAACACGACCCACCGCTGTATGTGCGGCTGAGCATGGGCAAGCATGTCCTACGGCCGCAAGCGCATGAAGCCCGAGTACTGGTTCGGCATCCCCAGGAACAGGTCAGTGACCTTGCCGTGGCAACACAATGCTTTAGGTACACTAGCTGCGACTACCTATTGGGTCTTGGATACACTAGGGAGTAATAGAGCGATGTCTTGCAGAAAGAGAGTATATTAACTACGTCGCCATCAAAGAGTTCGTACCGTTTCGTGTCATGCTGTATTGGGAGACATTTTTCCTCTAGTGTATCTAAGGTCCTTAAGGACTAGAACACGACCCGCCGCTATACCTGCGCCTACGCATGGGCAAGCATGTTCTACGGCCGCAAGCGCACGAAGCCCGATTACTGGTTCGGCATCCCCAGGAACAGGTCAGTGACCTTACTGCGACTCTTTAGGCCTTGAATACACCGGAGGACAAATCATTAAGATGTAGATGCACTAATGAACAAATGGGGTGATGCATTGCAAATGTTGCAATACAGGAGTATAACAACTACATGGTCATCAAAGAGACTACGTCAGACGTGCATTTGCTTGTGTAGCGCGTCTCAATTGTTTCAGCGTCGCGTGTCATGTAGGCTAGTAGACTTTCTCCATTAGTGTATCCAAGGTCCTTCACTAGAACACGACCCGCCGCTATACCTGCGCCTGCGCATGGGCAAGCCGGCCGGGCGGCCGCTGCCACGCACCACGCCGCTCATGTCCTACGGCCGCAAGCGCATGAAGCCCGAGTACTGGTTCGGCATCCCCAGGAACAGGTCAGTGACCTTGCCGTGGCAACACAATGCTTTAGGTACACTAGCTGCGACTACCTATTGGGTCTTGGATACACTAGGGAGTAATAGAGCGATGTCTTGCAGAAAGAGAGTATATTAACTACGTCGACATCAAAGAGTTCGTACCGTTTCGTGTCATGCTGTATTGGGAGACATTTTTCCTCTAGTGTATCTAAGGTCCTTAAGGACTAGAACACGACCCACCGCTGTATATGCGGCTGAGCATGGGCAAGCATGTCCTACGGCCGCAAGCGCATGAAGCCCGAGTACTGGTTCGGCATCCCCAGGAACAGGTCAGTGACCTTACTGCGACTCTTTAGGCCTTGAATACACCGGAGGACAAATCATTAAGATGTAGATGCACTAATGAACAAATGGGGTGATGCATTGCAAATGTTGCAATACAGGAGTATAACAACTACATGGTCATCAAAGAGACTACGTCAGACGTGCATTTGCTTGTGTAGCGCGTCTCAATTGTTTCAGCGTCGCGTGTCATGTAGGCTAGTAGACTTTCTCCATTAGTGTATCCAAGGTCCTTCACTAGAACACGACCCGCCGCTATACCTGCGCCTGCGCATGGGCAAGCCGGCCGGGCGGCCGCTGCCACGCACCACGCCGCTCATGTCCTACGGCCGCAAGCGCATGAAGCCCGAGTACTGGTTCGGCATCCCCAGGAACAGGTCAGTGACCTTGCCGTGGCAACACAATGCTTTAGGTACACTAGCTGCGACTACCTATTGGGTCTTGGATACACTAGGGAGTAATAGAGCGATGTCTTGCAGAAAGAGAGTATATTAACTACGTCGCCATCAAAGAGTTCGTACCGTTTCGTGTCATGCTGTATTGGGAGACATTTTTCTTCTAGTGTATCTAAGGTCCTTAAGGACTAGAACACGACCGACGCTATACCTGCGCCTACGCATGCGCAAGCATGTTCTACGGCCGCAAGCGCATGAAGCCCGAGTACTGGTTCGGCATCCCCAGGAACAGGTCAGTGACCTTGCTGCGACCCTTTAGGCCTTGAATACACCGGAGGACAAATCACTAGGATATAGATACACTAAGGAACAAATGGGGTGATGCATTGCAAATGTTGCAATACCAGGAGTATAACAACTACATGGTCATCAAAGAGACTACGTCAGACGTGCATTTGCTTGTGTAGCGCGTCTCAATTGTTTCACCGTCGCGTGTCATGTAGGCTAGTAGACTTTCTCCTTTAGTGTATCCAAGGTCCTTAACTAGAGCACGAACGCCTCTATACGACGACGCCGCTCATGTCCTACGGCCGCAAGCGCATGAAGCCCGAGTACTGGTTTGGCATCCCCAGGAACAGGTCAGTGACCTTGCCGTGGAAACACTAGGCTTTAGATGCGCAAGGGGACCATTGGAGCGATGTGTTGCATATCGAGAGCATAAAAACTCCGTGGATGTCCGAGAGAACGTCACGCATGTGCTAGCTTCTATAGCGCGTCTCAATTGTTTTGCGGTACGTAGATTTAGCGTTGCACATCATGCAGGTTGGGCGACTTTCTCCTCTAGTGTATCCAACGTTCTTCACTAGAGCATGATCGCCGCAGTACTGGCCTGCGCATGGGCAAGCCACGCCGCTCATGTCCTACGGCGGCAAGCGCATGAAGCCCGAGTACTGGTTCGGCATCCCCAGGAACAGGTCAGTGACCTCACTATAACAACCAGACATTGGATGATCCTCTAGGAGACAAATGGAGCGATGTGCTGCAGAACGGTAAAATAACAACTACGCGGACATCCGAGGGACGACGTCACGCGTGCTTTTCTGACGTATTATTCCAGGTTAGTTGGATAGCAGCTGTAGCTGCGCCTGCGCATGGGCTGCGTTTATGACACGGCCGCAAGCGCATGGACCCTAAGTACTGGTTCTTTCTATAACGTTGCTCTATGTCGCTGCTCAGTCAGATCAGAGGTGTATCAAGAGCGGCCCTCCAAAGAATGGACCCGGGCCCCGACGAGCCCGCCGAGTTGGGGAGACCTGCTGCGTGCCTAAATTTACTACACTAGTTCGAACTAGGCTTTTTATGAACTATAGCCAAATATTAAATATCAAAACATAAACACACGTGTGAACAGAGTCCGTAGAAATGTACTATTTGGGAGTGCAACTACACTATCTATCATAAGTCATTGTACGCAAAATGATAAATGATAATGTAAAAAAGTACGTCTCAAAAACTACGCCTCATTCAATAACCATGTCTCAAAAAAACCTACCGAATTGAGATCCTCCTCCTTTGTTGAAGTCGGTTAAAAATACTTTCCATGTTTAGTACATTTTCATGTATGAGACTTAGTTTTCCCTCTCATGTTGCCATGAAATATCACAAGGATTTCTCGACTACACAAGACAATGAAATTACTCACAACAGGCGTCGTAATCGCTTGCAGCGAATGCACTGCGCCGTGTCCTTTCCACTGTTATTATAATTTCTCGTATCTTATTGTTGCCTTTCCCGATAATAACATGCAGGTAGACAGTTGCAAAATAGATCTTAATCATCAGTCAGCAAGCATAGATCCTGGGAATAATAGTGTCGTAGTTACATATTTACAATAGAATAATTTTAAATTCTTTAGCATTCAATGTAAACGTGACATGTGAATTACATATTGCTTGTGCGTATACATGATTGTGTATAATAAAAACGTGTTCGTTTTTCTAACAATGTATTTGTAACCTTGTATGTTTTATACAGGGTGGATGATTTATTCAAGTTCCTGACGCACTGGGTGCCGGATCGGTATGGGCCCCTGGGCGATGTGACCGCGCAGGGATATGAACTGATCGACAGTGACACTGAATGGGACGACGACGAAGCCAAACCGGGACAAAAGGTTAGTGTCTTTAATAACAATCAAAAAGGAAACAATAAAATAGTATTATCTAATTAAATTGATTTATGTTTATGGCATGATTTATGTTCCCTAATGGCAGTTAGTAATTATGCCAGTAGTAATTTAAGAATGCCATGGTAATTCGCAGTTTCAAAAATGAATGACAAATTTAAAACTATGCTTATGAAATAATAATATCTTAACGTTTTTATGGAAAATGTCTATGCGTAAGTATAGCAAACATTCAGTCTGACGCGTCAATATTTATGTACAGACAACAGCTTATCTGACTGCATTTTAGTTACAAAGTAGAACCTTATTACCTGTACATAAGATACCTCTCTGTTGCTTTATATTCTGTCGTCTGTACTTCACATAATATTATTCCGGATGTCGAGTGAAATATGTAAACTTTTCTTGCGTGATAAATTCAGGAATGTTAAACATTATCTACTTGGTTTGTTCAAATTATTTGTTAATTTCAAAACCTGCGTCCTACAGTAGTGTACCGCATACACTTTGCACAGTAAACCCTTATCTTGCCATCAGTCAAGATAACGAATTCTGTGTGTCTTATTTATGAGTCTTGCTTGTTAATTATGAACTGATATTAAGTACCCTGGTAGCGCATGAATTATAATATTAGACGCGAAGTAATTCTCTTTAGACGTAACATTTTTATGGGATTAAATGACTAAGCAATGTATTATGTTGTCGTAGGGTGAACGAACGGGCAGCACCGGGGATGTATCTGACATCACAAGAGAATCGTGGGAGGTAAGCCCCAATTCAAACTTATTCACATCCCACATTAATATACTGTTACTTACTAACACGTTCGATGATTACTAACAACGCTTTGTTAACACACCGTTATTCATATCGTCGGTTATGCATCTCACATCCCACATTACAGTACACATTGGACAATGTTTCGATTTTATTAAATTATCTAAAATCTCTATGGTTGCACTGTGAATGGGTGTTTGTTTTTATTAATATATTTTTTATTCAAGCGTCACAAGTCAATCGCCACTACATTAGCACCGAGCGTAAACAGAATGGTTATGAACTCATTTTATGTATGTGTAGATTTATGGATTTGGTTCGCACTCATAATTCAGTCGATGGGCTTCACAGGATCAGTGGCTCATAATATCAACTAAATCCACTACACACAGGGGCGCATTAACTGATACGATAAAGCCCACGGCCGGCTATTTCACTGGATTCATTATTCATGTAAATTATCTGCGCTGTAAAGGCGATCAGACGTTGTTTGAATAAATAGCAAATAAGTCGTAAATACCGGCCACTGTCTGAGCAATGGCGTGGACAATTTGTAGGTCATCACAGCTAAACACTGTAACCTTTCTCGAACACAAAGCCACAGATCAACGACACTACTGCGTACCTGAAATCGTTTATTAGTACATATAAGTTTTATAACCGGATGAATTTATTGCTCTTACTGAGCGATATACTGATAAATGATAAATATTGTAAGAGTGGTAATAATTATTTACTGTGCCGGTAAAAATAGACTGATAAATAACTTAAAAATCAACAAACAACTTTGTATGTAAATAGATTACTTTATCGGCAGTGCATAAGTTAACTGCAGTAAACACATTTTTATAGATTTATTCAGCAAATAGGTACACATTAAGGCATAACATAATTGTAAACAAAACACTAATTTAAAAAACATTACTTACCGACATAATTTTTACAAGCTAAATAACTCTAACAAATAAGCTGTAAAATATTAATGTAACTTGTTTCATACGAGCTGTTGTTAACATCTCAAGCTTATATGATACTGTTCGTAATTGAATGCAGCTCGTATGAAACTTGTATGTAACCCTCATGTATGGTTGCGCATAGCTGCTAAAGGCGCCGTACGTGAAAATATACTCGATAATGAAGAGCCAGGCCGAGGCGCTCGGCGACTCGCTGGGCGAGGAGCCACAGCAAGAGGTACCTACTTTCGCGACACACACAAGCTGAATACAAATTTACATGACGATAAGACAAACGGGAAACACAGGGTTACATTTAAAGTGAATTGATTACATCTTTACATGCAATCATTAGAACTGACTGATCAGTTTAAAATAAAATTAATCTAACGGATAACCCATTCGTATAGACCGGGTGATCTTTCGAGATCCGGCTCGAAGGACCATTTAATTAGACAACCAGAAAAATTATTGCTTAAAATTTTGCATATGAAATAAATTTTAAAATGTTGCACGTCCATGTCAACATTTTAAAATTTACGCTAGTGTATTTTGTGATTATTTTTTGTAAACATAAATTGCAGAACATACGAAAAATGCTTTACAAAACACTCGTTCTCGAATAAATATTTTTCGTTGGTTGAGCAAAATATTTTATCTCTGTTTAATATTGCTTACTTGGTACATTTATTATCGATAGTAAATAAATATTTCTGATATTGATTTGTATCGCCAGTAAAGTAATTACTTGAAAATAATGTATAAAATACGCTAAAATCATAGTAAGTATACTATGAAATAATCATACCAAATTAATTACAATCAATAAATCAAGACGTCTAACTAGATTTTTAGACCGTTTGATTGTTTTCAAATAAATGAAAATCTCGATAATACCTCAAGAACTTTTAAAACTGTTCAAGGCGTACTTCGTAAAACTTGTTTGGCAACTGTCGTGCTACTATTTAAATTGGTTTTATTTTCAGTACAACTCTCTTTTTTTCATTTAATTTTGCTCTACCAACAAATAAGGATGTTGTGAACCTAAAAATGCAACGTTAAAAGATAATCAATTAAAATTCAATTCATCGTATACATTTGTATTCAGCCTGTATATTATGTAGTGCGAATGTAAAGCACCCTTAGTGAATTGCAAACCGCACTACCCTTAGCTATGTGTACTTAGGACTTCTTCACTCTATGTTAATAGCCAATGTGATATCACAAGTGTCTGTCAATGCTGGAATACGCCAGCGTGAGCTATGTATACTGTATATTGTAGATTCATGAAATGTCATAAGGAATGCAGCTTAGAAATGTTATTGTTTTACTAGTTTTTATGTATTGAGCAGCGAGTAAATGTTATGGTAGACGTATCTACCATATCATAACAAGCAGCTTCTGCACGCTAGCGACTTAACCTCCTTATTCATAAAAATATAACAGTTCTATAGCACCGTTTTGATAAATTAATTCTAGTCACTTTCTAATGTTAATTTCGCTATGAAGAGTCAAAATAGTTTTGATTCGCGATGCATAACTTTTTATCAATAAGGGGGTTCAAAATTGTGTGAATGTTCGAGAAGTAACCTCAATGTGACCGGTATTACAACGTGGTAGCAAAAAGTATCAATGGCGGCTACATGTCACCAATGTCACACAATGAGGTGACGCGCGAACAATGGTGGAGCCGGTGGTGCCCTGACGGCACGTAATCACCTCTTGTTAGCAGTGTTGCACAACTCTTGATAACACTGACCGTATAAACAAGGACTGACCAACCCTATAATGTACTAGTGATCCTTATTGCTACTGGATTAGTGACGATGGATACTGTAAAGAAAATGAAACAAAAATTTTATAACCAGACACCCGGTATGGAATTGGAACAGCACTAAATCTTCTATAGAGTTTGAAACTCAGAAGACACATAGAAGAGCTGGTTTCATGAAGCATTTTGTATCTTTTATCATAAAGCAACTGCTGATATATTCGGGGCCTCTTAAAACACGAAGTAGTCAATGAAACTACTTAATTAGATGTTGATTTATACAGCTTCTTTACTACTTATTGGTGAGAGATATTAAAATCATGGAAAAAAACTGTTGCCCCATTAAATATCATCGAGGTAGACAAGTTGACGTAATAAGGCGATTTTAGTGTTTCTCTGATAAATTAACGTTATACACAATTTACTACTTTGAATCATCGATATGAAGAAAGAAACATTAAAGACGATAGAACTAGAAGACGATAGAACAAACTATATTGTGAACTTTTCTAGAAATAAAAAGAAGATGAGCTGAATAGATAGTGAGCTTAAATGCCTACGGTATGACTTATCGATTGATATAATTAAATATGCGATGAAAATAATGGATACAGAATTTAAATAATATGCACGTCTGACCTTACCCAACTCGTTATTATATTCACTCTATTAACATATTAAATGACTGTCGAGTTTCCGTTCGGAATATTCCAAACCATTTATTCATTAATTATGTCTTCGAACATCGACCGATGTACTTTTTAAGAAATCAAATACTGATTAGTATGTTGTAGGCACACGTTAATCGTCACCATTCTTAGTTCGGTAAACGGAGTTCATGAATGTAAACGACGGATGTAAGGTTTTATCTGGGGGCACGGCAGTGCCCCCGCCAAGTCGAGCGCGAAGCAAACACTGCCGTACCATCCTTTACTGGAACCATTTCGCCGCATTTTCAGGCCCCTATTTGAGAACCTCTGGATAAGACCAGAACACAGAAATTTTCGTCATCTAGTAAGCTATAATCACATACTTAAAATCCAAAATTTCAAGTCTGTAGGTCATTTAGTTCCGAAGTTAAGCGAAAGCAAAGTTTCGCATTTACGACACTCACTCACTCACTGATGATCATCAAAATAGAACTAGTACTTCCCATAAACTCAGAGAGCTGAAATTTGGTACAGAGTTAGGGTTTAATGGCCACATAAAGGGAAAACTATAAAAACTAGTAAAATCGAAGATCTGGAGTAACACCACATTCATAATCAATACTACTCCGGCACCGTGGTGTTCGCCTGTATCGCTCACCGCTAGATGGCGCTAGCACTAGCAAGCGGTGTCCAGATTTTTTTCCTTCCTAGAGAAAGTCATCGATAAAGATAAATGATAAATGTTGTGTAATTTGCATTTCGTTGATTTCGTTTATTATATTGTAAGGTTCGCTAAGGTTATGTTATTAAAAAAATCCCACCAAAAACATTCTGTAAAAAACTAGCCAAGTCTCGATGGAGCTGCTTGTTTATCTCTAAAAAGTAATGAAATATAGACAAAGTCGTGCCAAGTCTATGGTTCCTTACTGCGATTTCTTTATTATTATAGTTAATGTTGTGTGACTTGGCCGTTGAAGGGTGACAAAACCAGGTGCTCCATGACACCATTGCACCAATCTGTCGCCAGAACCGCTACCCATTGACGATGGAAAATTGCCACTTGGAAAACGTTGATTCAACAACAACCAGTCAATTGTAGGTTTAATAAAGCTGCGTATTTCAATAATAATTATGTATAAAGATTGTTCAACGGCCAAGTCACACAACATTAACTATAATAATAAAGAAGTCGCAGTAAGGAACCATAGACTTGGCACGACTTTGTCTATATTTCATTACTTTTTAGAGATAAACAAGCAGCCCCATCGAGACTTGGCTAGTTTTTTTACAGAATGTTTTTGGTGGGATTAAATCTTACATAGCATGAAGTACCTTGTAGAAAAACTTCTAGCACGTCCTTTAACTTCATTTGCGCGTAGTTCTCAACAATCATAATTTTATCAAAATCCGCTCAGTAGTTTAAGCGTAAAAGAAGTTCGATACATCCGTTCTCACAAACTTTTAATTAATAGTCTGCTAAATATAAAATCTCCATTATTTCGTTCTCTCATGTTTTGGCTCATGGAATACATGGGTGGGATTCATAGAAAATCGTCCACAAGTTTTCAGCAATCCAGTATCTATTTCACCACCATCAATGATAAGCTGTAAAAA